CCTGCACAGCAAGCAACGCCGCCCCCGCCACCAGCAGCACCACAGCAGCAGCAACACCAGCAGCAACACCAGCAGCAGCAGCAGCAACTTCATCATCAGCAACAGCAACAGCTGCATCCGCATCCACATCCACATCATCAGCTTCAAGCACACCATCTTAATCATCATCAGCATCATCATCAGCATTATGCGAGTCAATCGCCACCGCATTACTCGTATGTGCCGCCGCCCAAGGATGCAGCAGCTCAGTTGCAACAGCATCTGCCGCTGACCGCCGCTGGGCTCATGCAATCGGTGGCCGATGAGATTCAACTGAGCGAACAGCAATCGACACCGCCGCCACCACCACCGCCCCCACCACCACCGCCGCCGCCACCGCCAACAGCACACGCCTCCAACACCACCTATGCGGTCTACAGCTACTACCGAGATGTCGATGTGGATGTCGATGTGGATGCCGAGCATCAGCAGCAGCAGCACAATGCTAGATCACAACAAGATCAGCAGCAGCTTCTGTGGAGGTAAGTGGAGGTTCCTGCCTGCTGGTTGCCCACTTCGGCATTGGGTTATCTCCTCTCTTCCTGGTCTGGTATTCTTCTTCGTCTTCTTCTTCTTCGTCGAAATGCGCTGCGGCACGTCTTTGCTTGCGGCGCTTCCGAAAATCGAGTTATGAAATTGTTTCTGTGCTTGTTTTATTTTTTATTTTTATATTTCTTTTTTTATTCAGTGTCTTTGCGGTCTTCTTGTTTTGCTTTGACAATGTTCTGTGACAGTAGCCGTTCTGTTTATTGTTCTGATGCCCTAACGCAGTGGTCACTTTAACTAAGTCACAGCTTAGGGAACGAAATAGAACAATTGACATAAGACTACCTTCTACTGTTTGCTTAAATTGTACTTGTCGTAAATATTTAAAGTCCTTCAGTCAATATTTAGGCCTTCTATTTCATAGATATTTTCGAACTGTTCACTTTGGAATTTAGATAATTTTATAATTTATTTAAATTTTGTTTGTGGGTACTTTAACTAAGTCACAACTTAGACAACAAAATAGAATAATTGGGAAATTTAATGCGACTCCCTTTTTCCTGTTAGTTTTTAATGCTATTTTACCAATATCTTGGCTATATTCTTTATAGACATTATAAATCGTGTTTTTAATTACTATTCAGATTTTCATTTTGATATTTTTTTTAATTATTTGAATTTTGCTTTGATTTTATATATAATACAATAGATTTATAAACAATTTTTAAATGCTTTAATTAATAATTTCATAATTTTTGGTTAATATTTGAATCACCTTTGTCCCACTCTGTCAAAATCTTATTCGCACTTCCTAAATTACCATTCCATTTCAGTGGTCACCAGTTATTTTTATATTCATATTTCATTCAATTTATTTTTTTTATTATTATACATATTATCCTGCAGCCAGTGAAAGACATATTTAAAGTTTAAAAGTGACCACTACATTATAATTAATCATTTTCCATTTATTTTTTTAAGTCAGCTTCCTGGTTGACTAAATAATTTCTATATTTTTTGCATCTTGTTGACTTTCCTTCATTGTTATATTATTTTTCCAAGATTTCTTGTGATAAACATAGCAGCAAATCGTTCAGTATCAGGGTGCAGTAACAATCCCCATTCCATTTCTTCCTATTTATTGATATTACTCTATGATGAATATATACCTTCTGTAGAGAGAGAGAAAGCTCTCTCTCCCTCTGTCTCTATCATATTACTCTCATTGTATTGGTATCCCAAGATTTCATTTAATTAACATAACAGCTAATCGTTCAGGATAATTTCAAATCCCCATTCGATTTTTTCCTCTCTATGATACTTGGATACTCACCTCCTATGCTGTCTCTCCTTCTCTCTCTTTATCTTTCTCTTGTGTCACTTTTTTCTCTGTTATTCACTTACCTCTGAACGATTCTTCTCTCTCGCTCAATAGTCTACTACTATTCTGCATGGTCAGATAATGTGAACTTGAGGTGCTTTCTTTGTTTTATTGCTGGCCATAAATGTCGCCCCTGTTAGGGTATGCAACTTGCGGTGGCAGCTCGCAGCGAGTTGCTCAAAAATCGTGTTTCTTGTCTCTGTGTTTGTTGGTTTTTTCTTCTTTTCTTTTTTTTTTTGTGTGTTATTTTAAATGAAGTTCAGGTTGAGGCTGTTGAGGCTGTCGAAACTGTAACGGGAGGTGAACGGTGAGCACCGCTAAGGGGGCATGGAAAAGGTCGTTGCGGGTAGCACTTGGCTTAGAAACACAATTAAATGACAGTTTTTTAGTGCGTTTTCCCCCTCTCTCTCTCTCTCTCTCTCTCTCTTTCTCACTCTATGTTGCGCATCTAACAAATGTTTTCGCTTCTACGTGATGTACACGAACTGACCCTAAAAACGAGCGGATATATGTACATATATACATACATATATACATATGTGCAGACATATGTCACACTCACAAGAAATGGGAAAAATAAGTATAGTAATAATAAACATATCGCGTTACGAAAAATGTGTGTTTTAATAGCGAAAAATGTTCTGCAGAAGACATTAAAGCAAAATGTTCTTCATGTTCGCCTGTTGCACGAGTGATGCGGCCTTAACCTCACATTAAATGACATGTCTCGTGGAATTCGGGTGAAATCGGGCACTACAACGGGCGCTCTTGTTACCCAAGCTAACCAACAATGTCCACATACCCACTTAGATACAAAAGTATCTTGCAATCGCCAGAAAAGCTTTGCCCAAAAAAAAGGAAATAAATAAATGGCAGCTGCTTTTGAAGAAATTGCGACATTTGTTCTTGATACCCATTTCATTTTTTGAGCGTTTTTTTTTTATTGTGGTCAGTTTGCTGAAAAGCGTCTCATCAAATTGTGAAAATGCAAATGTAATTCTCTTTATGCATCCAGATAATTGTATTCTTAATTACCATTTATGGTCTATCTCAAGGTATAACTAAATGTATAACTATATAGTTAAGCTAATCTGGTCGTAGTCCTCCTTTTTTCTCAAACCTTAATTTGTATATATTTCTGTATTATTTTAATTCTTCTTTTCTTGTGCACACCAATCCAAAGATTCAGTTTATTCAATTCAACATTTATATTTATCTGAAATTGCCTAAAATTCTGATACTATTTAAATTATAAATCACAGGGAATAAATTTATTGTTGCTCAAGCAGTTCTATTCAAAAATGTATATTCTTTTGAGCTTAAAAATAATAACAAAATTAAAATTGTGCATAAATTATATATTTGGGATATGCAAATCAAATAATTTATTTTGCAGAATTGTATTTTTAGCTGTTGAGTGTGATTAGCAAGATTTGCATATATATACATATACATAAATATATATACATGGGTGTATATATTCCTAATAAGCATGGATAATCTAGCTTATTTGATCGTAGTCCTCTGTCTTTGACGTCATACGAACATATCTCATCATTTTGGCCAGCTTTCTTAAGCTTATTTGTTTCTTTTGCATTCAAATCTTACTTTTTTAGATCTCTATCTGAGATTTGCCAAAGTTTCAATATTTTGTATATTAAAAATGAATATATTTAGTATTGTTTAAAAAATTCCATTCAACAATTTATTTACTTCTCTGATTAAAAATATTAACTAATTTTAAATTGTGCATATATTTGAGATAAATAATAAAGTATATAGCAGCAGTCGAGCATCAAAATGTCAATAATAAATATACATTTTACTTTTCATTATTTGTCAACATTCGTAACTTATATGCCCCAATTGACGTCATAAATAATTCGCAACTACCACAACTTTGTTCTTTTATTTTGTTAAATATTTTGCTTATACATTCTTAAAGTGTTCATCAGATTCGTTTTAAGAAGTGACTCAATTTGTTGCCTAAATTGGTTATACACTCTGGACGGGTGACCTTGACAGCGGCAGAGGGAAATACCAACAAAAAAAAAACCAAAAAAAAAAAAATAATAATAAAAAAATAAATGTTGATTTTGTATTCGTCATTGCTGTGCAACGCTTTTATGCCTTTTAACCCAAAAGAGATCGTTTTTATTAAAAATAAAAGATAAACGACAACTTGTGATTATTTTCATTGATTGCAATTTGTTTTTTATTGTGCAGATTTTCTGCTCTTGCAGTTGTCGACGTAAAGGCTGCTTTTTTTTATTTTTATTTTGGTTTGAGCCTCGGACTTGGGGTAGCTGCTCGCAGCTGGAATCTGGTTTGGTTTTTCAGTTGTCGTTGCTCCTATTTGGGTGTGCGTGTGTATGTGTGTGTGTGTGTGTGTGTGTGTGTCTGAGTCGATTGGCCTGTTGGTAACAGGTCCAGCTACGGCCTCAGCTGCAAAGCTACAGGTGTAGTTGTTGTTGTTGCTGTTGCTGTTGTTGTTGCTGTTGTTGTTGTTGCAGGCTGGCAAATTAGGCGCAGCCAACGGATTAACTATTGAAAATTGCATTTGTTGCATATTTTGCGCTCTTGATTGTCAGTTTGCTGATTGCAGATTGCAAATTGCGATTGTGCACCGTTAGAGCAGTGACAATTTTCCTTTTTGGTGGGTGATAACTGATAGCTGTACTTTTTCAAATGGATAACGCTTGATAAGTAATCAAGTAATTAAATAATTACTAGCAATCGAGTTGACAATGGAAAGCAGTTATAAGCATTTAATTAGGTGTATTACAATTTGTAATCATTTCTTATTATTTTTGCATTTTAGTTGCCAAGTTTTGTTAGGTGACAATTGCTAGCAGCTAACAAGTAATTAAGTAATTATTAAGTATTTAATTAGATGTAGATGTAGTATAATTTTTTCTATCAATATCAATATTTTTTACTCATGCAATGCTCCTCTTCTCTTCTCTCCACGCACGCTCTCGCTCCCACTCTCTGTCTCTCATGCTCCATCTATCTCTCTCGCACTCGCTCTCTCTCTTTCTCTTTCTCTCTCTCTTCCCTCTTCGTTGTTGTCTTTTTGCAGCAATGCGAGCAGCACCGGCAAACTGAATGGCCAGACCACACCTATCGATGTCTCTGGCCTATCGCAAAATGAAATTCAAGGCTTTCTGCTTGGCTCACACCCCTCATCGTCGGCCGCCACAACCGGCGTTGTGTCCACAACAACAATCTCAAATCAGCAACATCAGCAGCAACAGCAACAACAACAACAGCAACAGCAACATCAGCAGCAACAGCAACAACAGCAGCAGCAGCATCAACAGCAGCAGCAACAGCAACAACAACAACCACCACATCCCAGCGACATTGTAACCATAACCACGGCGGGAGTGGGGAGTGCGGGCTCAATTGTCTCCGCCGCAGTGCAACAGCAGCAACAGCAACAGCAGCAGCAGCAGCAGCAATTGCTGAGCATCAAACGTGAACCCGAAGACTTGAGCAAGGATCCCAAGAATGGCAATCTGGGCGCCGCAGCAAACGGTTCAGTCATAACGCAGAAGGTAGGACAAAAAACCAATAAAATTTGAAAAATATTACAAAAAAAAAACTTAGCAGCTAAGAGCTTCAGGTATTTAACGTTTTAATGGACACGCACGCAAAAAAAAAGTAGTAAAAAATATTAAAAAATTAAATAGAGCAACAAGAATTTCCAATTAGAAATTAGTTTTTAGGCTTAACGCGCTCACATTAAACTAGCCAGCGCCGACGTCGACGTCAGCGTCAGCGTCCGCGTCAACATCAGAGCACATCCTGCGCGCTCTACTTGCTTTTGCTTGTCTCAATTAACACACACACAAACACACAAACGCATACATAAACAGAGTGTGTTTCTAGTTGTTGCTGTTGTTGCGTCTCTAAGACCTGCAATTGGTCTGTCAACTGTGTGTGTGAGTGTGAGCAATGAGTATTAGTGGCTGCAGCCAATACGAATCAACGTCGTTCGTCGCTCGTCGTGGTTCTATTGACGCAAAAGCAATGAGACAACAGCAACAACAACAACAACAACAACAAACACATTAACAGCCGCAGCTCAGTTTGCATTCGAGCAACTGTTATACGCTCAACTTGTTATACACGATCATCGTCGCTACGCCGCTGCTGTTTCTGTGTGTGTTTGTGTGTGTGTGTGTGTGTGTGCTGTGTGAGTACTTGTCTGATTTTGTATATTGCGCTCGCTCACACGCACGCCTGGCGACGCCTAAATCTGGTTGGTTGCGCTGGCATCGGTTCGAGTTGCATGTTGCATGTTCGATGCCCGCTGTCCGCTGCTTTATCAATTGCACTCGCATGCAAAAAACGAAATACGAAAAACCATAATTAAAAAGAGCTGCTGCTGTTTTTGATTTGCTTTTGTTTTCCTTCTTTTTTTTTTTTGCGAAATGGTGGGAAATTGCGTGACAGCAAAAGCAACAGCAGCAGCAGCAGCAGCAGCAACAGTAACAATGTAAGCCATAGGCGACAAAAGTTAAGTGCGCACTTCCGGCCCACTAGTTACACTGTGTAAGTTCTTCCTTCGTTCGATCGCAGCGCGCAAAATCAATGAAGTTAACTATTTTTTAATGCCGCGCGCGATGTTTGTCCGTCCGGCTGCTGTCTCTCATGTCAGAATATGCGACAGCAGTCGAGATTCCAACCATTTTGAACTGATATGCGTGCGTCTGTATTGCTGTGTGTGTGTGATCATACGTGTTGTGTGTGTGTGTGAGTGTGTTTGCTCGCTCGCTGGTCCAACTGGACGACGCAACGCTTCGTCAGTCTGCCTGTCTGCCCGTCTGCATGCGTGCTTCTATGTGTGTGTGTCTATGTGTTTGTGTGTGTGTGTGTAAGTTCGTTTAGGTAGCGCCGTTCGCTGTCGTCGTCGCCGTAGCCGTCGTCGTCGTCGTCGCCGTCGCCGTTGTCATACGTGGAATCGGTCAGTCAGTCGTATCACGCTGTCGGAGTAGGATCGTTTCTGCGATTCGTCTGATTTTTTGTATCGCAAGCCGCAAGCAGTTCGCGCGAATGCTTCTCTTGCCTCCTCAGCGCGTAAAAATCTTGTAATGCGAGCGCAGCAGCAGCAAAAGCAACGTGCTTAAAGTGTATTATTATTAATATCACTGTTATTATTATTATTATTATTATTGTTGTTGTTCAGAGTCAGTGATCAGTGGCAATAACCTAAAAAATACACGCCCCCCGTCCCCCCCTCTCTGAAATGTAAGTGTGTCTGTGTGTGTGTGTGTGTAAATTTGATATGCTGCTATTTTGCATATGTTATGATAAATGATATGTGATACATTTGTATATATATATAGATATAGTGCCGCTTGATTGGAATGTGGGCGCAAAGTTGCCCAGTTAGCTAATGCAACAAGCAACAAATAAACAAAAACAAAAACAAAAAATATCTATGCATAAATAACAACATCAACATAAAAAAAAAACACCTGCAATCAAAATGCAAACGCGCGCCCAAATCAAAGCATAAGCCAAAAAACAAAAAAAAAACAAAAGTAACAACCAAAAACAAATGCAACACAAATCGAACGAACACGAGCAAGAGACAAATGAACAACAACAGCAACTTCAACAACAACAACAGTAATAGCAACAGCAACATCAACAACAACAACAGCAACCTGTGTATGTGTGTGTGTGTGTTAGTGTGTGTGGGCGTGCTGTGCTCAGCTGAGCCGCAACGCGTTGCCTTTCAACACCCACGCGCAGCGAACAAGTTTGTGTCCCAAGTCTTTTGTTTTGCGCGCGAGAACTCAGCAGCAACAGCAGCCAACAGCAGCAACAACAACAACAACAACAGTAACATAAATAGTAACAGTTTGTTGTTGTTTTTTAACGCTTTTGCAGATGAGAGTGGGCTTTTGGTCTGACTGTGTATGTGTGTGTGTGTGGACAGTAAAATATAGAAAAAATTCATTGAGCAAAATATCATTTTTTTTCTTAGCTAAACTTAATTGCCTTGTTTTCTTGTCGCTGTTCTGTTGTTGCTTGATATTTGCTATTTTTCTGCAATTTGCATTGCACTCTAATTTATTGTGCATTTGTATAAATATGTTTGTCATATTCGCATTGCTAGCTAATTATTCGTAATATTTGTCTAAACGCGATTTGCATAACACGCGTCGAAAGGCTTATAAAATATTGTATTCTTACATATGTATGTATCTGTGTATATAACAAATCGCTTGACTAATTTATGCCACAGAATTTTTAATTAAAAAAAAAATTGACAAAATGAATAAATGACATAATGAAAAATTGATATTGCAAATTGTTGCAATGCTCTAACTCTAGACCGGAAAGTGTAATCATAAGCCAATAACAAAACGCAACAGCACCAATAACAAACAACAACGTCAACAATTACAACAACAATACAAATAACAAAAAAAATATAAATAAAATGGTGTCAATAAACCGCCTGCTGTTAAGCTAATTGTAAAAAATTGCTCAGATCGCACAGTCGAGCCACACAAAAAAAGTTATCGATTGGTGCTTAATGCATATTATTTCAATATTGATTTCAAGTAGGTGCCATTAAGTAACTGTCTTAATTGTAGCCGCACTTAACTGAAATTAACCCCCAAGCCCCAAATGAATACTTTTTAAAAGGGCCAATTGTGTAATCGGATCGGATACAGATTTTATTATCGTTTTAAAATTCGAAAGCTGAATATTTTTAGATTACAGCTCTTGTTATCAATAGAGAGCAATTGAAATTAGTTTCCAGCCTCAATTGAAGGCTAATCAAACTTTAAATAAAGACAAAAATTCGAAACAGTTATTTGTTGCCATATTGAAGCAAACTAAGCAGCTTAAAAAAGCTCAATTTAACTATCGATAAACGTTTTCGATACTCTCAAGTTTCTGAAACTGAGCACTCGTCTTAATTAACGCCTCACTTATTCTGAATACGCACAAGCGATACTTTACAAAAATGGCCAAAAACAGAACTATTAAAATATCCTATAAAGATATATTTTGAAAATAATAATTATTCTGTATGCTTTATGCTGTATGCTGTATGTATTATTATTGTTTTTGCCTTGGTTTATTTCCGAGAATTAACGATATGCATAAAAATGCCAGCTAAACAGAATCTTGACAAACGAAAACAGAAACAGAAACAGAAAAAAAGTTTCACTTTTTATCAACCAAAGGCATTAAAATAGTTAATTGGCTTTATTTAAATTTTTTATTTCTTCCTCATACATAAATATGTGCCAGAGACTGAGACAGAGCCGCGGCTAGACACTTAGCATAATTCTAGCCAATAGCTCAGTTTAGTATCGTATCGTATCGTACATGTATATATATATTTATATATAGTATATATAGATACCATATCTTATGTATATGACTTATGCAAAGCGTTTTGTTTTATAATAGCACAAGCTAACGAACGATTCCTAAAGTTTCGATGTTTTGTGACACGCACAAAAACCCAAAAGAAAAATGAAAAAACCAAAACAAAAACAACAACAAAAAATCACCGAAAATCGAAATAAATAAAAAAAAAACTGTCGGATCGTTGGCTCAGCTTCACTAGCCAAGGCCTCTTCTGACGTTGCACGTTGGAGTTTTTTTTTTTTTTTTTTTGAAAAAAAAAATGCAAATTGATTTTATGAACAAATTTAATTAGCTCGAAGCTAGAATCTTTGTAGCGACCCCCCATCCGCCTCCCTTCACTCCAAGTCACAACAAAAACAAGGCTGCTAAATTATACAACAGTCCGACACAAAACAACAGAAGATACTTAAAAAAGAAAAAAAATGAAAATGAAAAATACAAATCGAACTTGGTTGACAAATAAATAACGTAAATGATCTATGCTTAAGATCAGAAGAGGTTCTGAAAGCTTTTGCATCCATCGGGTTTCGGCAACCATTGTTTGTCGAGTCTGGCTTATGACGTCTTTGATTTCACTTTCTTTCGCTACGTGAAAGACTCATCAGCTAAATGTTAATTTATCGCTTAGACAGACACAGCAACACTAAACAGGGCGTGGCACCTGCGGACTGTATCTTTGTATCTTTGTGTTTCTAATATTTGTATCTGTATCTGTATCTGTATCTGTATCTGTCTCTTGGCGTATTACCTCATTTAGCGTGCGCGTCAACAGCGAAGAGTCGAAACCGAGTCGAAAAACGTTTGACATTTTGGTGCGATCAATAAAATAAAAATAAGAAAAAAAGCAATGCTAATTAACATATGCATATATACATATATATATATCATTATATACCATATATATATATACTTATAATGTGTATAAGTTATGTACATATATATACATATATGTTGTGTGTCTGTGTGGTTTTTTCTCGCATTTTAATTGGTTTCTTTCCACTCGACAACAGGCGACTGTTTCGATTTTTATAGCGTTTTTGTTTTTTTTTTTTTAAGTTTTTTTTATATTTATTTTATAAACTGTACTTATTGATGGCGGGAGCTTTTTGTATTTATGAATCAGCTTGGTAGGATAGCAGTCGAAAAAGAACTCAAACGCGAGACGAGCTCTTTTGTCACCGTGGTCCATTTTGACCTTCCGCGTTCATAATCAGTCATCAATCAACAATAAACATTGACCAGCAGTTGCCGCTGTGGTTGTTTTTGTTGTTTTTGTTGTTATTATTATTATTGTTGTTATTGTTGTTATTGTTGTTATTGTTGTTGTTGTCATTTTTGTACGTGTGTGCGATCAATCAATGTAATTCCGAAAACAAATACTGAGCTGAACCAATTCGATACCATTAAGCATTATTTTGATTATTTGTGCCGGCTTGTAGAATTTAGATAGCGCCTGCTACTTGTAGACCCTCTACCCTTGAAGGCCTCTGAGATCTTTGAGATTCTTGAAATTAAACTTTTAAAGGTCTCTGTTCAAAGTGTGAGATCGATTCAAAAAGTATTTTTATTTACAGTCCGAGAAGGTTTCTTCTGCAGGTGTGTTCTATGCGAGTTCACTCCTCGGAAAGCTTCTTCGATCTAGAAGAGATCGCTCAGTAACTTTTCTCAATGGCAGATCTCTTCGATCTTCGACATCAGTTTCAAAAGGCTTCTCGGCTATTCGAGATCAGGCAAAGAAAGCTTCATAAGAAACTTAATCAATCCTACAACGATTCCATCGAACGCTGATATATTTCCAATGATTCCTATATATTTAAGGAACTTCTCAAATATTACATATTTGTATAGCATCGTTTTGCAAATACTTTTATTTATGCAAGATCAATTCGAGACAAACATTTTGATAACACGTCTACCCCTAACAATAATACAGTAGATAACATTGTATATTCTAACCAACAGATCTTAAATAATCTAACCTAAGCTAATCTCACCCACACAAAACAAAGGTTGTGCCCAAGTTTTAAGCTTGTTAAAGAAGGCAAACACATTGAAATATTGGACAAAAACTGATTATGAATATTATGTTTCTAGAGTTGGTAACTCTGTTAATGACGGGTTTGATTTTTTGTGTCGAGCTTATAGTGTAAAGTAGATTTTAAGTTGCAAGTTGCAAATACAGTTGAAAGAAAGAAACCAACAAAAATCCCAACGAAAATTCACAGATATTGCGCGTGGATGCAGCTAGAACTGAAGCTGAGGCAACTGCAACTTCAACTGCAACTGCAACTGCAACTGCAACTGCATTCGAAATTAGCGATAAAACAGCTGCTGCAGCAACAACAACAGCAACAACAACACAAAGTGAAACTGCAACTAGTCCCGCCAGCGCCACAACAGATCTAGAGATGTATGCTACAACGGGCGGCACACAGATTTATCTACAGGTGAGTGAGCGAGAGGAGTACAGAGATAAAGAGATGAGAGAGAGAAAGAGAGAGAGAGAGAGTGATTGTCCTGAACTCCTGCAGACCTCACATCAGAACAGCACCGGCCCCAGCACACAGCAGAGCACACTGCAAGCCCAGAGTCCCAGTCCCGGGCCGTATATCACAACGGATAGCTATGGCATGTATACGGCCACACGATTGCCGCCCGGTCCACCGCCCGCAACCACATTCATAACGGAACCCTATTACCGCGAATACTTTGCGCCCGATGGCCAGGGTGGCTATGTGCCCGCCGGCACAGCGCGCAGCCTCTACGGCGAGGATGTATCCGTGGCGGCGGCCACACAACCACAGCCCGTGGGCGGTGTCTATGAGGCGCGATTCACCAGCAATGGGCCCACCACCACCACAGTGCTAACCAGCAGCAATGCACACCACCACAGTCAACAGCAGCAGCAGCAGCAGCAACAGCAACAGCAGCAGCAGCAGCAGCAGCAGCAACAACAGCAGCAGCAGGAACAGTCGGGCAAAAGCGGCGGTACTCCACTATATGCCAAGGCTATAACGGCGGCGGGTCTGACCGTCGATTTGCCCAGTCCCGATTCGGGCATTGGCACGGATGCCATTACGCCGCGGGATCAAAATCACATACAGCAGGTATACACACACACACACACACACACACACAAACCACACCCACAACACACACTCTGATGTACTAAGCAGCTAGTTTCATTTAGTAACGAGTAGCGAGTACAAGTAGCGAGTAACGAGTAGCGCAATGAGTGACGTGTCCATTAAAACATAGTTGTAAATCTATTAAAATTAAACAATCAATCAATTGTGCAATGCGTAGCGTGTCCATTAACATATTTAAGCTAAGACTTACTTATATTAAACCATTAAATGCTAATTAATATTTTGTGCTTAATCCCTTACTAACAAGTAACGAGTAGCGCAAAGCGTGTCGTGTCCATTAAAACCTTATAACTTAGATATAATCGTATTTATCAACATCAATCCAAAATTGATTACATTATATATGAGTAACGAGCAATGTGTTCAATAAAGCCTCAACTTACATATTTGGACATATGTATAAAGCAATCGGAAGTTTAAACATCAACTGCAAGGAACGAGTAATGAGTAGCGAGCGGCGAGGGGCGCAGATTCTTGCGTGTCCATTTAAAGTTTTGGAATAATCGTTAAACTTAATATAACATATGAGATCATCAAAAGTTGACTAATCTTGTATTCCCCGCTGCGAGTAACGAGTAGCGAGTAGCGAGTAGCGCGTTGTGTAAGCTTGTCCATTAAAACATAGCTTTAATCAATTTTGTTTAAGAAAATCACCTATATTTTAAACCTAAACCCTTGTTCAATTTATTATTACAGTCCTTCGACTATACGGAACTTTGTCAGCCGGGCACCTTAATTGATGCGAATGGCAGCATACCCGTTTCGGTGAACAGCATCCAGCAGCGCACTGTGGTGCATGGCAGCCAGAATAGTCCAACCACATCGCTGGTGGACACAAGCACAAATGGCTCTACACGCTCGAGACCCTGGCACGATTTCGGACGCCAAAATGATGCTGATAAAATACAAATACCAAAAATGTAAGCAACTATTTAAATTTATATTTATTTGTGCCAAGACTCTGCTCTCTATTATGATATTGATGAAGTAAATCGACTTTCTGTTCTTTTGTTTTATTTTTGATTTGATTTTTCTATGTAGCTTCACAAATGTGGGCTTTCGTTATAATTTGGAGAGCCCGATCAGCTCGTCGCAGCGTCGAGAGGACGATCGCATCACCTACATCAACAAGGGTCAGTTCTATGGCATTACGCTGGAGTATGTGCACGATGCGGATAAGCCAATCAAGAATACAACAGTTAAGGTAAGTCGACATGCATCTATAAATATATATATATATATAGTTTATATACCCTATTGATTGTGGAGCCGTTAAGTCTGCTTGTTGTTGTTGCTGTTGCTGTTGCAGTTGTCAACACCAGTTTCGGGGCTTAGGCAGCGAAAACCCTTTTCAGCCTATTTGTCAGTTGGCCCGAGGAGCCGAATGTCAGTCAGCCTGAGCGCTAATCAAGTTTGGCATTGCTTGCCACCCTTTGCTCAATTACACAAGACGCACACAAGGACATGCGTATCCTGCTTAAGGCGCTGTGATCTTCACTGCTCAGCGTTATATGCATATCCCGATGATAAATGATAAATGATACGCTACCAAGGCGCTACCTTTATGAGAATTTGAATATGCCGCTCAATGCAAATTGTGAGCCTTTCAGCACACACAGACACACACACACACTCACACGTTGTTTATTCAGGACGACATAAGGATTGTAGTTGAGAACGGGGTACAATACACATCAACATCATCAATCAGATAAGCTTAAATGACGTCTTCTGACTGCTACTGGAAAATGCAAATTGTAAACTGAAGCCGTTGAGTTCTGAAGAATGACAATCAAAGTTACAGTTGAAAAATGGGAAGTGCGATGTGGGGAAGTGCTTGTGGAAGTGGAAATGGATGTAGTTGAGGATGTGGATGTGGATGTGGAAATGGAAGTGCCAACGGTTCGTTAAGTAAACAACAATTGTGATTGAGTTCTCTATGCGAAAGGGTTTGAAATCGGAACTGTCTCTCAGATCTACATACAAATTTGCATACGTAAATAAAAAGCTGCGACAAATTAAACAAAAAAAACTTCAAATCCATATTGTAAAAAAAAGTTCTTAAAATCTAAAGAAAATTATAAAAAAAAAAAGATCTTAAGTGATAACGAAATGAAATGGTAAAAAAGGATTGCAGTTCGTAAAAATAATTAAGTCTAAATAAATAGGAAACAAAATAAAAACCAAACTAATATATACATGGGTCTTGAGAATAATCTAAATTAAAATAAATGAATATAAAATGGTCAAAATAACAAAAAGATCGTGAGATAAGACTTGAAAATGAGAAAAAGCGGGTTTCTTAAAGAAAAAAGAAAATTAGCAGTGGAAAAACAGAAAAAGTCTTAAAGAAAAGTTGAGGATCTTTTAAGAACAGAGTTAGCGATAAATTAAATAAATTAAGAACAGAACTTGCTAGCCGAGAGAATATAAGTTTTAGAGCTCTTCTGCCGCCTTTTTTGGCCAACCCCTTTTTGAGCTGATCTGGCTGATCTGGCTGTTCTGGCTGTTCTGGCTACCCTGCTAATTGCGCTTTATGAAGTGCCTTTGCCAGCTCGTATTACCATAAAAGTGCAATAATTTTGCGCAAAGGCGCTAGATGAAAAAAGTGTCAAAATTAATTTACGAGTTTATTTGTTTAACCCTCTCGCCCTTTTTTGGGCTGGCATCAGCCATAAAACACATTTAAGTGTAACTTGAAGAAACTAAAGAACCTCAACGAAAGTAACCCAAAGAAAAATCCCAAGCAGCGCAATTTGCATAGACGACGTGTCCATTTCCATATCCATTTCCCAGAGCGGCTAACGGTGAAAAACTGACAAAAATCAAGAAAAAAAAAAAACAACAAGTATAATTTACGAGCTGATTAGCCCATGAATATTTACGATATATATAACAAAAATAAAAAATAAAAAACCGTGGAGAAAACTAAAGATCTAAGAAAAAGGCGCACAAAATACACAAAAATATTTATGCCCAGTAATCAGTTGATGCGTTTGCGCAGATCGGGGGTAAGTTGAGGAAAAGGGGTTGCAATTTCAGTTTTAAGGATGTTCGGGACTCGGTGGATCTATGCGCTTCCTTTGCGCTGTCAGCATAATTATTCAAAATGCAAAAGTAAAATAGAATACATGAATGATGCACACAATATGCAAATATCTCTGGGAACAGACAACGACGACGACACTCGCAGATACTCGGATATTCGGATACTCAGATACAAATATGTGTTAGATATTTTTCTGCTAAATCGAGTTCGTCCTTTTGTGTGTCCCGCTTCTAATCCTTTTGACTTTGTAGGGTGCGAGCAATAACTCGACATAGGCAGCCAAAACATGTGTCACAACTCGTATATGTCAAGCGGGATGTTAACAACAAACAAAACAACTCGACTGACACATACCCCGTAACTTTATTCAACAAATTTCTGGGCTCGAATTAAATAGAGTTCACAGATGTCGCACAATAAGAGTAAACATAGATTAGTCTTTATCCCTATTTAAAACAAAATAAAGCTTGATCAAAAACAGTGTTCACAAGTTTTAAGCTTACAATTAAATATATGTTTCAGTTTCAACAAATTCTTTAATAATCAGTGCAATATAATCAATGATATTTGTTAAAACAAAAGCCTAATAAAATATGTATTCATCCATTTATGATCAACGAAAATATAATTAATAATATATCACATAGAGTAGAATGACAATCGCAAATGAAATTAAATCACGTGCCAAATTGTCATGTCAAATTTGAACAGGATATATAGCATGGAAAAAACATAAAAATTTAGTTATGCTAATTTGTTAATTTCTGTTTTATTATAGCAAAACACATAACATATATTGAATCCTAATCAAGTGGCATATAATTAATAAGAAATTCCATTGTCTTAATATTCATTTTAATTTTGTATTTCATGAAAACGGAGAATGACAACGAATTAGCATAACAAATTAAAACAAGCGCTCCACATATCCAATTTTAACAGGGTATTTAGCATAAAAAAAAACCAAAATGTATATGCAACTTTATTAATTTCTGTTTTTTATCTTGTGTTTTTTTTTTTTTTGGTTTTCTTTGCAGAGTGTGATCATGTTGATGTTTCGCGAGGAGAAGAGTCCCGAAGATGAGATAAAGGCCTGGCAATTCTGGCACAGTCGTCAGCATTCCGTGAAGCAAAGAATCTTGGATGCAGGTGCGTAAACTCAAACGCTCCCAAACGAGCAGCAGAACCGCAGAACAGCAGAACAGCATGTGGAGAGCAATAGGGGTGGGGGGCATTCTGTTGTATAGGATTTCTAGACCGTAAATTGTTGGTTTTTATTGAACGACTACGCTGACGAACGGGGCAAGCAAGGCGGGGGCAAGCGACCGGGGGGCATGCAGCGACAAGGCAGTTATGACATTGATAAACGCGCAATGCATTCGGGTTTGTTTGATTGCAGATAATCTTGGCTAGCTCTCGACTCTCCGATTGCTCTCCGGCTACCTTGTTACCAGTCGTCGTTGCTGCTGCTGCTGATGCTGTTGCAGCATCCTGTTGCGCGCCTGCCCCATCAAACATAACTCATTAGGCACTTGTCACAGAAAATTTTCCTTAATTGTTAATACAAACGATACTTTAACTTCCCTACCCCCCCATTCCCCCTTCCACCCTCCACACAGACATAGTTATTCTCCCCCCTCTCTGTTTACTGTTTGCTTATCGTGTGCTTTTACCTTATTTGTTGCAGATACAAAGAACTCGGTTGGTCTCGTTGGTTGCATTGAGGAAGTGTCGCACAATGCCATCGCCGTCTACTGGAATCCGCTCGAGAGCTCTGCCAAGGTAAGTGCTAAGCAAAGTTCTATCCAACACCCCTCTCTCCCCCCCCCACCCCTCCATCAACGACACCACCCCTTTTGCACAGTTGTGCCAACTGTTTCAGTCCCCATTTTGTTTGCTGCGAGCGCCGCCTCAATTAAAAAAAAGAAAAGAAAAAAAAACACACAACAGCAAAACAAAAAGAAGCATTTTATGAACGAGACGGCAAATAAATGACACTCATTGTTTGCTTATGTGTGTGTGTGTGTGTGTGTGTGTCTGTGTATCTGAATATGTGTGTTTGTATCTGTGTGTAAGAATTAAATTGTGATTTATTTTCAATTGCAATGCACAACGCAAATTATTCAAACCGCGTCGCACAATCGTCGCTATTGCCAGCTCTTTCGCACACATGGCTATTGCCGTCTCGCTTTTGTCGTTTTGCTCTTGCTGCTGTTGCTGCTGTTGCTGTTGTTGTTGTTATTGCTTTATTCAAAAGTATAATTTATGCATTTATTTATTTATGACACTTAGTTTTAATCACCTGCCTCGGCAATATTCAGTCTCCCTCGATGAGTGTGTGTGTGTGTGTGTGTGTGTGTGTGTGTTTTTTGTGTGTGTCTATGTTAGTTTTATTGCAATTGCATATTGGCTTCAAGCCTGAGCTCCCAGCGCGTTTAATTTAGCAATTATCAACAATTTCAATCGCCTCAAATATTTGCAATTCTATTGAGCGAATCAAGCGCCATGTGCCGCCACATTACGTATACGCCCCATTCAACAAACCAATATTCACTGAACGCAACTTTGTGTATCGAAATGTTAAATGTTAAATGCTTAGAATTATAACCAGCCAGCAAAAAGCTCCACCTACCAAAAAAAAATACAAATAAATAAATAAAAATAAAATTGTCTACACCTGCTGTGAATCGAGCAAACGATAACCTCTTGACCTATAGATATGACGTAAAAAGTTCCAGACTTTGTGCTAAGCTGCTTGAGTTATTTCTGCATAATCGGACCGATCTTTGTCAAGTATGTTATTCGTCTTAAAATGCAGCTTGAGAGTGTGAGTGGAGCCACACATAGCAAAAAAATAATAATAGTAAATAAAATACTGTCTGAATAAAGTTAAGTTAAAACCGACTTCGGATAGCAACAAACTCCCCAGCCGGACACAGATTGCGCAATCAGCTGCAACTTTGTGACAGATGCAGAGTGAAGTTTAGAAAAGATTGAAAGATTGTCCGAAAATAAGTAGACTATGTCTTTCTCAACTAGGGGCCTTGAGCACACACTTTAATAGTAATAATAAATATTTCTGTGCTAATTCTGAAAAGTAGTCAGAAAGCATGTTTAAATACTTGCTTATGCAATTTTTGAGTAGTATTTACTCAAACCAAACGCCCAAATACTTTATGTTCTTCTGGTTGCTTTAGTGCTTAACTTATTAACATTATTAATTAGTTCCAATTCTGTTATAAATAATTTGAGAAGTATTCAGTATTCGTATTGGAAGAGTAGAAAAACAATTTGAATTATGCATAAGCAATTCATACTTTACTTAACTTAAAGAATTTAATTAGCTACAGATTGGTATGCAAAATATAGAGAATATCAATCAATAATAATTCAAATCACACATACACCTTATCCCAGCTATCGTTAGTATCAAATACACTTTACTCGTGTCATTTAAAATGCTAATTGATCCGATTAATACAAAGATACAATTGTGATTTGTATTTTGTTAGCCTTCTTTTTATTTTCCTGGCTAATACAAATAGTGCAAGTTTGAGGCATGGTTAAATTACTGGACTCGTCTCTTCATCCATTTACAAATCATATCTATGTACATCGATATATATATTTTAAAGCCACTTTATTTGTTGAGAAAAAACGCACTGATTTTCCACTTGCTGTCAAGTTCAGTGACTTGTGTCAAATTGGCTAACTGGCTGGCTGGCTAGCTGGCTAGCTGTCTGGTTAGCTGGCTAGTTGGCTAGCTGGCTGGCTGGCTGGCTGGCTTATGGCCATAAGTGCATTTTGGCTGCATTTCGATATCGCGCTTTTTATTTACAAATTGTTTACGCGCTGAGATGTTAATCCAAAACCTCGGCCAGACATTGAGAGAGAGTCCGCTGCGCTGCCAATGTTGCCAACCAAAAGGCCGCATAATGTCGATTTCGTTTTATGCCGTTAGGCAGCAGCAGCAGCACCGCATACCCCCTCCTCCTGCGTATCTGCGCATCTGTATCTGTCGCTGTGCATCTGTATCTGTGTCTGTGTCTGTGTGTGCGCGTATCTCTTGCCTTTCCCAGCCGCAGCAGCAACAGCAGCAGCAGCGGCGGTAAAAAAAAAACTTTCGTACGCACCGACACGCAGGTGCTGCATCTTGTGCAAGCCAAAAGCCCCCCGCGCACCCCACACCCCGCCTGCTGCTGTTGCTGCCCGCAGCATCTGTCCGTCCGTCCGTCCGTCCGTCTGTCCGTCTGTCTGTCTGTTTGGCTGTGTGTCTCCTCTTATATGGTACGCGCCCGCTAATTATTCACATTAAATACTGCTCCACGTCGTCCACATCGACAACGTCAACGACGACGCTGACTGCGATGCTGGCAGCGACAGCGACAGCGCTGCGTCGACCGCGTTGCACTTTTACCATTAAGATTGTTTCCTTTGGTATTTTTGCGTTGATGGATTTTCTACTCTTTTTTTTCTTCTTTTTTTTTTTTGTTGCTGTTGCTTTTGCTGTTGCTGCTGCTGCTGTTGCTGCTGTTGTTGTTGTTGTTGTGTCCGACTGTTTGTCTTTGGCTCGTCGCATCTGGCTTGGACATGCTTAAAATGCCTTTAAGCACACACACACACACACATACACACACACACACTCGTACAAGCGCGCAGTGCGACTTGAAGTCTGTCGCTGAGCAACTGAATCGAAGTCGAAAAAAAAATGAATTGGATGCGTTGCAAAAGTCAACTTGCCGCAGCATGCAGCATGCAGCCCGCACGCCCCGCGCTTTGTGCAAGAGATATGTTGCCACAGTTCGTTTGGTCCTCTGTGTATTGCCTCGTTATTGTCTCCATCGCCAACTCCATCTCCATCTCCAACTCCAACTCCATTGGCATTGCCATTGCCATAACCAACTGTAGTATCCCCGCCTTTTGTTGTTGTTGTGCGTGTGCGTATAGTTATGTGTGTGTGTCTGTGTGTGTGTGTTGGAATGTTTTAAACTGTCGTGGGCATAAGGAGGACATCGACTTAATAGAGAGAAAACAATTGCTTCTAATAACAGAGACACTGTCGCAGCCCCCAGACGCAGTGGATTTTCTCAATTTGCACTTTTTGTTTGTTTGTTTGTTTGTTTGCTTAACTGTCTGTCTGTCGATTTAATTTCTTTTTTAAAAGTTTTTATTTAATATTTATTAATTGCTTAAATTGACTTAATTGCTCGACATTTCTCCACACAGATCAACATTGCAGTTCAGTGCCTCAGCACGGATTTCAGCAGTCAAAAGGGTGTTAAGGTGAGTCTTATTTAATACTTGTATAGTTATTAGTTCAAGTTGTGCTCTTGGTAAACTCGACACAATCGCTACAACTGCGAAATAAATTAAAGAAATAGAAAATCCACACACATGTTAACTTTTTAACACTTGACAGGCGATATGGATCAGACAGACACACTTCGATTCTAACACAACAAAAATATATCACAGCTAATTACAAATTGCCAGTTACCTTTTCTGAACACGCCCACATTTGTATTTTATTGCACTGTCAACAGTTTCTAAAATAGGTTTCAAAATCTACAAATTTATTTAATTAAATTCAAATTAAAGTTATAAATTACATAAGTTTTGCACACATTTCCCGGGAATATTTTAATCAACTTTTGATGTGTTAAAATAAAACTTCATCATATAATAAGTGTGTTACTGGATACTGTTACCTAAATGTTGACTAATAAATCGATAAAAAAAAGAGTCAAGATATGTATCAAGTGACATATATCAAGTAACACCTATTCGTGAGTTCATGAGTTTGGATTACATGCTAAAAAACCGACCATAAATTGTGCAAATCAAATGCTGAGCTGTTAAAACAGAAATGAAAAGTTATCTCTGTAGTTGTTATAGTTGGCAACAAAATAATTATTTAAGTCTTTGATTTATATCTATATGCATATCATTAAACGAAAGAGATTTAAATAGAATTTATGAAAGAGGACAGAAACCGAAAGAATTTTTTGTGTTTGAAATTTGCCGATTAAAAATACAAAATAAAAGAGTCAAATGCCAACAACTTATTCTCTGTTTAATTCTCGTTGTCATTCAAACAATCCATGAAAAATCTTAGTATTGCCAGATTGCTTAATAAAATTAAGATTCACGAATAAATCAACACAACAGCTGCTATATCATTTTCTGATATCAGAATTCTTGCATTCTATTTACTAAACATAGGAGATAACAATCCTCTGATATTATCTGAAATAAAGATCACTTGAGGGAAAGGTCCTATTAGTTAGTTAGTTAGTTAGTTGGGGAACACACACACAGCGAGCGAACGCCTCTTGCAACGCTCCATAATAAACACCTGTGCATGCACCACAACAACAACAACAGCAACAACAACAGCAACAACAGCAACTGTCTACAAGTTGATGAGCCCTGCAGGCGTATCCATTTGCTCCCGTACAATGCAATACCCGTGTTACACAGTTAATCACATAGTCATAATACCCGGCAGGCGCTGCAAGGCCAACATCATAAAAAAAGGGGCAGGCAGCCAAGCAGGCGATTGCTGCAGCTCTTCTTCTGCTTCAGGTGCCTTTAAACACATACGTAGGTAGTTGCTGTTGTTGTTGCAAGTTGTTGTTGCTGTTGCTGTTGCTGTTGCATCCTTCGTGTGTTGTAATGCGTACCATTAAGTTGATATTTCATTGACAGAAACATACGAACTCGGCCAGCAGCTTCACAGTTTCTTGCCTTTCATTAAAAAGCGAGCAGAATGTGACAGCTACAGTGGAGCCTGACTAAACTGAACTAAAATGCAAGCAATTGATTACTTAGCTCTAGCACTCATTTATCTATTGCTATTATTAATATTATTATTGTTATTATTATTAGTATTATGGCATTATACATTTTTTGTCTTTGATTGTTGTGTTGCAGGGTCTGCCGTTGCACGTACAAATCGATACGTTTGAGGATCCGCGGGATGCGACAGTCTTTCATCGCGGCTACTGTCAGATAAAGGTCTTCTGCGATAAGGTAAGTGATTTGATTTCGCTACAATGCTGCAATGCTGCAAGCAGTAACTAGCCACATAATTACGCACACACAGACACAGGCACAGGGGCATACACCGTGCTGCCACGTGCAACAACAGCAACAGGTTGAATGAAGCAAAAGCTAACTAAAAGCTGCAAGACGTGACTCGAGGCAGCTCGTGTTGTTGTTGTTGTTGTTGTTGCCACTTGTCGCTGTTGCTGGCTTTTATCGAATTGGGGGCAACTGGCTGTTGTTGCATGATGTTTCTCATATGGGTTGTCCCTTCATCAAGCCACAAGCTGCTCGCTACCTCGCTCAGGTGGAAAGCGTAACGCGTACAAAAGTAAATGGACAACGCTTGACCCTCTCCCCTCCCCCCCTCCCCTGCTCAGCCCCTCTCTGTGACTCTTCGCATCTGTGGCACTGATTCCCGTGGCATCATCCATCCTTTCGCACTGCCTGGTGCCCTTGTTTTTAGTTAACGTTTTCGCCTTGGTCTCTCTCGCTCTGTCTTTCTCCCTCTTCCCCCCCCTTCTCTCTCTCGCTCTCTCTCTCTCTCTCTCTATCTCGCTCTCTCTCTTGTGTTGTATGCGAAACGAACGAAGGAACCCTTCACTTTTTTATTCGTTGGTCGCTTGATGTGCTTTATTAATAAATCATTTCGTGGATTTCCAATTTAATTTTCTCATATCATTACACTTCTGCTGTGGCCTGCAACGTTGCACATGCCTGCCTGGCTACCTTTTATTGTACCAACTGCATGATATCTGCTCCCTACACTCAGACAAAAATATCAAATAAAAATAAAAACAAAAATAATAAATAAATAATAGCACCAAATAGCAAATTGTTGATTATTGTCGAGTAACTTTTGCGAAACGTATTCTGCAAATTTAGAAGTTGATCGACAAATCATCAACTATTTCTGGCTTAGGCCTATCGCAATTTGCAGTCAATCTAAATTATAGGTCACATCTTTTTCTTTGAGTGTATGCACTCCATACTCCATATTAGTGGGGCCCTTATTTCTGTGTTGCTTGAGCGAGTCCCTCAGCATTTCGAGGCGTGTGTTTATCGGTAAATGTATCAATTAAATATCGCGAAGCAGCTTATTTCATATGGCTATATACTACATACATACATACATATGTATGTATGTACATACATACACACATACATATATGTATATACACAAATATGTAGGCATTTCTCTTGGTCTTTACTTTGTTGTCTTTGGGGAGTCTGATTTCACTGCATGTGCAACACGGTTGCAATTGCCGCCTCCTGGCACCTCTGCCTTTCTTGCAATTGCAATCACGCCAAAGCAAGCCACGCATTGCAAAATTCGGTCTTTAAAAAGTATGTTCAAAATACACCGCCACATTATGAAACATAAATTTATGACAGAAGATTACAATCTTGAGCGTCAGATTTTATATCTTCGGCACGATCATAACACACATGTATATATCTATATATATACATATATATATAGGAAGACATTAAAGTCGGACAGATCTATTAACAAATTACGCTTATATACATTTGAAAAGACTTTGTTGTATTTTAAAGGCAACTTTATTATCATTATTTTATGGACACCAAGCATAATAATAGTATTTGTTTTTATTGCTTAAAGGCAATTTGGCTTGTAATGTGCAAAACAACAAACAAACAAAAAGACAGCGTTAAACTTTAACTGCGTGCGTTGAAAAAGCAGTTTCCAAAGTCGAAAACAGATTTTCCCTGAATGTAGCTAGCAAGGCTCAGTGCTAGTGACGAAAGTTTCAAAAATATTGATAAATTCGATTTGAAATATTAATATTTAGTTTCGAAATCAAACTGATTTGAGTTACTAGACTTTTATCGCTTCACATTTTGCATTAGCCGAGAGAAAGTTGATGTATATTTTCCTGCAAGATCTGTGCCACAGCAAAGTATATCGATAATTGCGCTTTGTAATCGCATTGTTTGTTGTGTGACTATCGCAGCTAACCAAAATATACAGCGCAGCTGACCCAAAACATATACCCTCCCCACCCCTGCCCCACACATCCAACTCCCTAGCCATTAGCATTTAATAAGTTAGTCGAATCACAAGAAGAAGCAAATGATGCTGATGATGATGATGATGATGCTGATGATGATGATGATGATGATTAAGATGAAGCAGAAGGCGGCGAACATTGACCGCATTGGCGGCGATTCGAGCCGCTGTCTGAGCAACATTGGCGATATTTTTGCCAAGATAAAATAAAAGTATGTAATAAAATACAGTTATTTACATGCAGGCACAAACACACACAGACACACATCATCAGCACACACACACACGCACAGATACACACAGTTGATGCTCTAGGCTAAATTTGTAGCTGTGATAAGCGCAGCAAGAGGTTTATAGGTAGCCAGCCAGATGTATCTATATACATATATATGTGTGTGTGTGTGTGTACATCCTTGCATAACGTAAGCAAAAGAGCCATAAAAGATGGCTACCAGCGCAGCAGCAGCAGCAGCAGCAGCAGCAGTGAGGGAGAGGTGGGATGCTCGAGGGGAAATATCACTTCCTGCGCCTCAATTGCTGATTGTTGATTACAAATGCAAAGTGCACACACAAGCTGTTGGCCAAGAGCGCAGAATCTGTTTACACGCAAACCAGCAATCACATCAGCCACAATACACACACACACACACACACACACATACATATACAGCTGTGTGTGTGTGTGTCTTAGCCGCTCACTCACTCACAGGCAATCATCAAGCAGCGTAGCTGGGCAGCTGCTGCTGTTGCTGGTCAGGTGGGCAAATTGGACAGGCTTCAAACACACACACACACACACACTCCAATACACACACACACATGCTGCTTGCAACAAACTCGCGCAATGGTTTGGGGCGCCGCCGCATTATTTATGATGTATGCATATTTATGCTGCTGCATCTCCTAAGTATTTTATAATAATTTTTGCAGCAAATATGTTTTTCTTTTTCTTTTTTTTTTTTTTTGTTGCTTTTGACCCTAACGGTGCTGCCACAGCTTGGTCAGTTGCATTTGCAGCGTTGGTGGCAACAAACTTGTTTCTCTTTTAGGCTTAACGGCAGCCAACAGTGTTGCCCATTTTGAGCAGCAATAAAAGCTTGTTTTGGTTTCAAATTAATGAAGTAAAAGCAACACTTTATTTTATGGAATGTCTGGGGGAAGCACTTGAAAATCGCAACTTAAGAAAATCATTTATTAACTATATATATTAAAATAATATATTAATTATCTATATATAGGTAGAAATATTACTTAGCTTAAGAAACATATCTTGGCATAAAATTGATACGCTGAGCAAGTTTTATTCCGATTAGTTATTTACTACATACGTGTTATAATTTCTGATAGCTAAAGACTTGAGTACAGGGTATCTGCCTGTCGTGCTGTCTTTCTCTTGGTCAATGTTGTCATTGAAAAATACGCATTTCTGAAAAGCATAATATTTTTGGAGTTTAGGTTGGTTTCAGCCACCTCTTTTGAGGCTGAAATAGCCAAACTGCCAGCACTGAACAGCAGACAGGCCTGCCTGGCTGGCAGACAGGCAGCTAGGCAGCTAGGCAACAGTTGAGTGTTTTGTCTGCCACAGGCTGTGCCAGGGTTTATACATGCAACTCAAACACTCGCAGAATTTAATTAATTTAAATAAAAATAAATGCAAAAAATTGCAAAGCTACTGCAATAAAAAAAAAAAAATTGTGTGCATCCCATGCATTTGATTGATTGCCAATTACAAAAACACATTCATACAAACGGACGGACAGATAAATGGACAGACTCGCGGACACACGGACGGACAGAAAGACACCTGTAACTGTGTTTTGCGCAAGCGCCAGCAAACCACTGTGGATTCTGTTGGCGCAACCCGCAATTAAAAATCCTACTCCAAAGCCCATATTTGTGTTAAACAGCTCTCTCATATTCTCTCTCTCTCTCTCTCTCTCTATTTGTATCTCTGTCTGTTTTTGCAGGGCGCGGAGCGTAAGACGCGCGATGAGGAGCGTCGTGCCGCCAAGCGCAAAATGACAGCCACTGGACGCAAGAAGCTGGATGAGCTCTATCATCCGGTCACAGATCGTTCCGAGTTCTATGGCATGCAGGATCTGGCCAAGCCCCCAGTGCTCTTCTCGCCCGCCGAGGATATGGAAAAGGTAAGCCAACAATTCATAATCCCCCACAGTCCAATTGGGAGTCACACGAAAATGATCACTTAACGAGATTAGAATTAAATCGAAACACAAAATTGTTGCATTGAAATAGTCGAGTTTTTCTGCTATAAATATTTCTTATTTATATACGGCAAGTTTTTCCGTTTACGCAAATCGGAACACAAAAGGAAAGTTTCCGTTTTTCCATTTTCACGCCTGTATTTTCATACAGGGAAAATATGTCTTATCGATTTTTCCACTTAGTTTGTCTTTTAAGTGAATTTTGTCCACATTGTTGGCCTCAAGTTTCTAGGAATACTTCTAACTTCCAAAACATTTCCATCCCAATTAAATTTTGCGCATAGTTCAGATCAATTCTACATCTAAAATTTATGTACTTGATTTTTTCGTTCTCTGGTCTAGGATGATCGACCTTGGCCGGATTTTGACAACGTCTGTACTTGATTTCAGTACAAAATACTCTACATTTGTGTGATTTTTCTCTAGTTTAACCTCCATTATGTTTTCTTTCTTTCTTTTTTTTTTTGACAGAGCTTCTATGGGCATGAGACTGACTCGCCGGAGCTGAAAGGTGCCTCGCCGTTCTTGCTGCACGGTCAGAAGGTGGCCACGCCCACGCTCAAATTTCACAATCATTTTCCGCCCGACATGCAGACGTGAGTAAAAATCGTAATCCTTTCCCCACAGAGGATGTGCCTCGTATCCGCAAAAACCAAAGAAATATGCCGCTAAATTCGTTGTTCTTTCACAGTGACAAAAAGGATCATATATTGGATCAGAATATGTTAACCAGTACGCCCATGTCCGATTTTGGCCCACCAATGAAGCGGGGCAGAATGACGCCGCCGACAACGGAGCGTGTCATGCTATATGTGCGGCAGGAGAACGAGGAGATCTACACGCCGCTCCATGTGGTGCCCCCAACCACCATCGGCCTGCTAAATGCGGTAAGTACGGATTGAACCTCAGGTTGAAGCGGCAGCCGCTCTAGAAGAGTGACCCAGCATGTGTCCCCCCATCCAACGTAATATTCCCCAATCAAAAAAAAAAAAAAAAAAACTCACTTCTCAGTCTAAAATATAAAAAAAAAAAAAAAAAACTCTAATAACGTCTGTAATTTTGTTCATTTTGGTCTAATTGGTTTATCAAAAAAAAAAAAAAAAAAAAAAAAGAATTATAAAAACAAAAAGCAAAAAATATGTATCCAAAATGTTCAAATCTGAAAGATGAGGTCTATAAGAAAATTAATGCATATTCTCAACTAAAGCATTTATTTAAAACCAACTTCATATCAATCGTTATTCATATTAAAACAAAAGAATTAAAACAAAGCAAATGGATCGTATTGTAGTTGAAACTAATTGATGGCGTCTCGTAACCATTGTCATTCTAAATCAATTGTAAACCTCATCAACCAACCAAAAACACATTAGTAGCTGATCCAAGCAATTACAAAATAAATCAATAAAAATCTTTAAATATATACTTACATATGTATATGTACAATCTATCCATTTATAACTACACTTAACCCACACAAAACAAACGGCACAACAGTCAACAGTTTGGGGCGTTTGCAATATATATATATATATATGTATATATATATATATATAAATATATTTTCGTATTCGATTTGAAAGATTGGCTGAAAACTAAAAAAAAATGAACAAAATCACAAACACACACAAAGAGTTATAAGAGAAATATTTTAGTTTGTTAGTTAGTTATTTTTTTTTTTGTTTTTATTTCCACTCTCGTTACTCGTTACTCGTTACTCGCCACTCGTGCAACACAACAGACAAAACATCATATTTCTCTCGTTTCTCAATTGCAGATTGAAAACAAATACAAAATCTCAACAACGAGCATAAATAACATATATCGCACAAATAAGAAGGGGTAAGTAAGGCAGCTGTGTCCAAGTGCTATACACACACATACACACACACCAACTCACACACACACACACACACACAACCACCTGCACCAAAGCTACACATCACATACAGCTAAAGAGAAAAAAAGAAGAAGATAAAGAAGACATATTCATCCGTGTAGTTTAGTCTAACCGATAATACTCGAGCCTAAAACCAACTAATGCTTATCAGGCTTATGGGTGCTACGATATCAAAATCAAAAGAACCAACCAACCAACTAATTTCCAGCTAGCTAATCTGGATTGCCTTATATAACATGTCTATATTCTATTGCAGGATTACGGCGAAAATTGATGATGATATGATATCCTTCTACTGCAACGAGGACATTTTCTTGCTGGAAGTGCAACAGATTGAGGATGATCTGTACGATGTGACGCTCACGGAGCTGCCCAATCAGTAGTACTTGCTCTCAAAAGTGAAACACACACACACACATACACCAACATACACTGACACACACACACACGCACACATACACAAAATGTGGACACAATTTTGCTAACAGAAGTTGTTTCAATAAGCCATTTTTCAAATAAACTATAAGCCTTAGCCTTAAGTTCTCTATTAAAAATATGTATGCAAAACGAATATATATATAATATATATATATATATATATATATATATATATACAATATATATGTGTGTAAAACTGAACAATATTCGAAACCGAACACAATACAATATTTAGTTGTACTTATGCATGTTTTGTTTTTGTTTAGCTACTTTAGTAACAATGAGATTACATAAATTGTTTATCAAATTTCAATTCTCGCTATGTTAATATATATAAAAGAAAGAAAAAATGCTGTAATTAAGTGAAATTATCATCTTTATGTATTTATATAAATATATATACATATATATATATATATATGTACTTATTAGTAATTACAACGCGAATAGAGTGCAAAATGTCTGTCCAGTAAAACATAAGTTCGCTTCTTGCTATATATGCTAGACCATAGGTCCAATCCCCCCTCCCCCCTAAAACCAATAAAAACCACAATAAGAAAACCGATTAATTCCCGATATTCTATTGAACTTTTTAGCCCCTAATTGTGTATTTAAATTGTACTCGTTTGTATGTGGAAATTGTCTTAAGCATTTTTTTAATTGTTGAATATACATAATTTGTAAAATTATTTTTACAATCTCAAAAAAAAAAAAAAAAAAAAACCCCAAAACAAATCGTTTGTTCTATGCTTCTTATTGAACTATACACACTCAAGCCTAATAATTAACCCTTGTTATTTGTGGCTATAATGTATTTTTGTACAATGTTGAAATATACTTAATTAAAAAAATAATTAGGATCTCTGCTAAACACAAAAAAAAAAAAAAACAAAGGAAATAAAAAATACAAAAATATGACAGATTTTGTCACATTTTTGCTTCCAATGTCTAGAACAAAACGAAATCAAAACAAGAAGAAATAAAACGTGAAAACACTCTTTAAAGTAATTATCTTTTACATTTATAAGTCGCTCTGCAATAAAACATGTTGATAAAATTTGTAATTAAGTCCAAGTTAAGGCAAAGAAAACAAGAAAAAAAAAAAACAAAAAAACTAAACAAAAATGGAAAAAAGAAATGTGTGCATTTGTTGTAAAACAAGAAAATCTACAAAATAATCAACAAAACAAAGTTGATTCAAAACAAAAAAAAAAAAAACAAAAACAAAAACAAAACAAATCAAAAACAAGAGTAGTGGAGTAGATCAGCATCTGAAATTGTAGCACCACAAAAATACGATAAGGCAAATCTGAGCAAAAGATGAATAAAGTACATAAAGAGGAGAGAAAAAGAGAGAGAGAGAGAGCGAGAGAGAGAGAGAGAGATAGAGAGAGAAAGAGAGAGAAACAATATATGATTTACAATAATAGATGGTAAAATACGCATAAACATAATACAATAATTTAAATCTTATTCAGCATATGACATAGTGCGTTTACAAACTTTGTTTGCCATAATTAACAGCTTACTTAATTTAATTAACAATTGTTTTTAAATTTACAATTAACGTGAAGTAGTTTAACAAACAAAACAACAAAACAAAAGCGAGAAACTTAAGAGATTTGCTTCCAACTTGTTTTCCAACGAATACTCCGCATCAATTGCTACAATTATAATCTGTTTATTATTTTTAACACACAAAACACATACACTCAAAAAACACACACACACACACCCTACTTTTTATTGCTATTGCTCAATACAGTTATTTTGGTCCTTTATCCCCTTTCTATATTGTAAGCAACATTTATTTCAATTTGTCACCTTCGGTGTTGTACATCACAATTTGTTTTTAGTTGTAGTCTAAACTCTAAACGTAATAATTCCAAGATATATACATGTAATATTATAAACGAGAAATTGGAGATGAAGAAGAAGTGGAAGTGGAAGTGAAAGAGTAAGAGGAACAAAAAAGTAATAAGAATCGAATATCTTGCCGACATGTTATAAATCTGTATTTTTAGTTATAGCCTATAAGTTTTATGCTCTTTCTACAATATATATATTTATATATATATATAGTATATATATATATATATATATATATATATGTATGTACATCGATATATATGTATATGTATAGTTAAAAAGCCAATAATTTATTTTTTGTTACCTGTTGGAAACGATTCCGCGAAAAATAGTAAAAGTTAACTGAAACTAAGCGCAAGTGAAACTCATGCTATTTATGTATGTAGTATGTATGTAACTTGAGAAATTTTCAAAACAAAATACATAAAGAACAAATTGTACAATATTATCATAATGAATACACAAAATTTAAATAAAGAACAAAAAATAAACAATCTTTCTTCTTACTTAAATCGCACCTTACCATAACATTATGCTGCTAACAGCGCATGTCTAACACTACCCCTGTTATGCCTATGTGCATAAAAGCATCTTAGCAGTGAGCGAACGGGAGAGCATAAAAAGCTGCGCAAACTAAACTCGCGACTCTCTCATGAGTTACCCAGCAGCGAGCTAGCGAATGACACCTCTTTACCGAATGCCTCTGTAAACATACAAATGTTTCTACTACTCCGATTCCTGTATGCAGAGTTGTATACTTCTGCTTCTAAGCCAAGCACAAACTTGACTTTGCGAAAGCTTTCATAACAAAAGCTCTGCACACTTGTAAATGTACGCCAATGTCGTATTACATATTTCTTATGCATATGTAACGCTCTCTTAGCTGTTTTACTATCTCTCATAATTATTGCGCTGGCACAGATTTGCTTATTATAGTTTTGAAATATGTGTCGTAAAGTGCTTTTTTGGAATTTTCAATTTGTGGTGTGAAAAATAAAAGTTTTTATATTTTTAAATTTAAAATATTCATCAATTTGCATATACATATTAAGCTTTCTATATTTGGAATACGTATATAAATAAATTTTGAATATATCTACTATACATTTTTTCATATTTGGGGTACAATCCAACTTCATTATCAATAACAATAGACTATCTTGGTATATGGAGTCGTACAGTATTCCATTTACGATCCCTCACACAATCCCGAATCTAATTCGTAATGTGGTCTTTTCGCTGCTGGTTTCTTAAGCTGTTTGCCTTTGCATTAGCATTTGTCTCACCCCACATGCTGCGCCCACTCAACATTGAGCACAAACTTTCCACTCTATGCATATTGAGACGCGTTGCTATGGCAACAGTGCCACCTGCAATTGCGCTCTTTCTCGTTCTCTCTCTCTCTCTCTCTCTCTCTCCCTCTCTCACACACACATTCTCTCTCACTGGTGCCTGCATTCAAATAACTTTCAAACTGTTTGAATGCGTCGTCTACTTGGCTTTGAGCGTTTCAGTATTTATTTTTCTACTTATCCGTGTTGTTGCAGCGTCTGCTACAGTTGCAGATAACTGCATTACACTTACAGCTTACAATATACAGCTATAATCAGTCAAGGCAGTATTTTTTTTCTGTAAAGTACACAGTGCTGAGCAATGCCTAAATTATGTGACAGAATAGTGTGTGCGCGTCCACAGTGCAGATAAGCCAGATATGCCAGATGATCTCTAATGTCAGCGCAGATGACAAAAACCGAACTGATTACCAGCTCAGAGATAAAAATACTTCGCAGTTGGGAGTAACAACAATGAAAGCCAACTGAAAATCCATTCACAATTCAGCATTCAACTTTTGTTGTACCATCGCCAAGACTCAGTTCTCTGCTGCGTGCGCTTCGTGCCGGTTGTGATTTACAGTTATTGTGGTCTGTCGCTCTCTCGCTCTCTTTCTCTGTCTATCTTTGCTTAGAAAGGCTTAGAAAGCGACAACAACAGCTGTTGCATAGTCAAAAGCCGTTGCACAAAAGTCGTCCATCGATTGAAACGTTTCGAACGCATAACCAAATGCCAACTAATTGACACGTTTTTGAGGCACAAGACTGTTTGGTAAACAGCAACAATAACAATAAAATATTTTGGATATTCTGAGAGAGGTAAGAATTCTTACATTACATAGTTCTAAGTTTATTTGGTTAGTTTATTTTTGATAAAGTGTCTTATTTAATTGTGCTAATGTGTGTAACAAAAGGGCGAGTCAATAAAGATTGTTCTGTATGATCTGGGCAAATATAGGAATGTATATTAATCATACTCAGCGGATGAGATAAGCACTTAAATTATTATTTAGATTACGGACTGCATAATCCAAGAATAAACTGAAAAATATCCAGACAGAAATTTTTCTTGGCTTGAGATGCGTTTTGTAATCGAATCAAGTAACTAGAAGTTGTATGAAATATGCATAAGCAGTTAAGGTCATAAAATAATTAATCTGAAAAAATAAAAAAAATTGCGAATCTAGAATATATTTTTGCAAAAAGCTTTTAGATACGGGTAATATTTTTAAAATCATTATGGAAATAATAGAGCTCATTTTGTAATTCAATTATTTTGAGTCGGGAAAGTATACATATAGAATTTAAAGTACTAGTCGTGAGATAGTTTATAAGTTATAAGTTTATTAATTAACTTGAGCACTTTTTGTGTCGCAAATATTATTGTAATGTTCACAGCATTAATTTGAAAGCAATTAAGTTCAATTGAAAGGGAGCGAGCCATTAAGTGTTATGAGTCGCAAATAGTTCTGGGCTCTGAAAGGCATTTCGCATTCCGCATTCCCATTCCCATTTCCACTTCCATTCCTGATCTACGATTCCGTGTTATGGCACGCGATCAACGGAGTTGTTCACTTGTTATTTTGATATTTGCTTTGGGTGTCTACAAAGTGTCCAACTCGTGCTTGACATATGGTATGATTATATGTATTTATATTTTTCATAACCGTGTGAATAAAAATGCCAGCCATTTATATTTATTTAAGCTCATTGTTAATCTCTGTGATTAAAGTAAATGTACATGCACAAAATGAAGTTCTTACGCGATGTGTTTATCATTTATCAACATTTCTAATTGCTTCTAGCGTAATAAGTCTGAGCATCGGATCTTGAATACTTATACACACACAGAAAATAAACAAGTACCATATAATCAAGCAGATATATTCTTAATTAGAGAACTAAAATTCGAAATTCTCAAATTGCATTTAATTAGGTATAATTTTGATTGAACTAGTTTCAGTATACATTTTTGATTTGTGAATTTAAAGTTGAAATTTAATATTTTCAAGTATATTTTTCGCGGTGTACATATTGTATATTCATGCAGCACACTAATGAATCAAAGTTCAAATCATGATGTCGAGAATGGAAATTGGAATTTCCCCTTGTTGGCGACCTTTCGTGCAGTTTGCTCTGTCTGTTTGTGCAACAGTCTAGTACCGGTTGCAGTAAAACTTATTAAAATTTTTGATTTGTGCTCCTCTCGATTGCTTAAGTTTAACTTATAGCTCCGCTCCCAGGCAGCGAATTAATTACATTGATTAGATTACGATGGCTCATTGTTGCTTAGAATTAAATATGCAATTTAATATTCAATTGGGGGAGGGGGAGGGGATTTGTTTTGCCATGAATCATATACAAATTTATGGCTTGCAACGCTTGTTGATACCAGATACCAAAGTCAATTTCGATGAGTTGTGTAAACTTTACTTTTGCTTTTATCTTGGCACACATTTCAAAATTAACGAGTAATCAATATTGTGGCTGAAATGTCTTGCAACATTAATGTGAACTGTTAACAAAGCCTTTAAACAACGTTTGAGCATGTTTACATTGTTTGCTGCTGCTGCTGCTGCCGCTTCTGCTGCTGATGTTGTTGTTGGCAATGATCATATTAACGTACGTTCAAAAGTATAGCATTTATTTGGGCCAGAATGTGTCATTGTGGCCTATTCGCAACTGGGTCTAAAGCTTAGCACGCTGAAGTAAGCTACATTTATATACTATATCGATCGATATTTATTAAAATTTAAATTAAATTTGTTAAGTCTTAAAAATAACTTTTTAACAAAATTGAAAGCATTCAGCTCGATAGAGTTCTAAGAACTTGCTGAATTTAAATACTTATATATTTCAATTTTATTGTTAATATTATTATAATAATATTATTATAAATCTGAGCCACCCTCCCCTCGTTTTAAAACAGATATTGTACAGCTTTCATAATGCTTACAACTTCAGCAAGAGTATTTAAAATTCGGAAGGCTGAGTTTGCTTGTTAGAGTTGAACGCTGTTGACTACTTCATTGAGAGCGACAACATTGCATTCAAAGCTCGCGACGGCTACTGTTAAAGCTTGTCATGCGATCAGCTGCTTCAAAAGCTTTCAGCACACACAGAAGCTTTGGCTGCACTCGCACTGTGGAACATATTTACATGTCGACATATTTTCACTGTGGGTTTTGCCCACAAAACTCTTTTGTTTGCATCGCTTTAATGACGGTCCTTGGGGGCCAGCCGCAAAAGCAAACAAATACAATCTACTTCAAAAGAAGTATTTAACAACTGGGCGATCGTTAAATGAAACAACTGATAAACTTATATATGGCAGATCACCCCACATCCCACTCATTAAGCCATAAAAAATATTCGCGGAGTTGTTATCTTAACAATTCGGCTCAAATTTTTATATGGTTAATTAGAAATGTTTTTATTACGAAACAATTTACAGAGTACGAAAAAAGACGTGCAAATAAAAATAAAACAAAAATCCCCAAGAGAGCAGCCCACTATAATCAAAACACTGAAGACAGCCTGTGTGGTTAACTGGTTTATTAAACCCCACCATAACCCACTCCCCACATGCCGCTGTTCGTGCGCAGTGCATTGGAACGTCAAGTTAACCGCAAAACATTGTGCTTTTAATCAAAAGTCTTATAGATTGGCGTCGTGCTCGAGGAAATTGTTAAATGCGCGCAAAGTAATTTCCAATTTCCAAGTGAAGCCAGCTCTCGCGCGCTCTCACTCTCCCACTCTCCCTGCACGCAATCAACACACTTCCCACAATGTTTCTCTCCTTCTCTCTCTCTCTGAGTCGTTCGGGTGAGCTTTGGCTGCGGCTTCGCGTGCCTTTTGGTTGGGTCGCATTTCGTTTCGTTTTCTGATTTCAGTTTTGAAGATCACTTTGCGTTGTGCGGTACAACTGCGCGCAACACACACACATACGCACACAGAGAGAAAGAGAGAGGGAGAGAGAGCGATTAACAAAAGGGAGTCATTAACTTAAATGTGTACTTAATGCATAAGTCAATATAGCAATTAAATAAAAATAAAGTTGTGCGCCAACTGACGCTTGCCGAAACACAAAAACAAAAAAACCCAGTTTGTAAAATTTCAATTCCGTCTTTGAATATCAATGTCAAGTGCTGCTCAATCGAATCCGGGGTCACAAGTGCTCAGCGGCTGATTAACCGTTCAATAGAAGCGCGGAAAAAATAACAAAACAAAATACAAAACAACAAAAACAACAACAAAAAAGACTAAAAAAGGTGGAACGGCGCGAAACACGTTTCGCGTGTGCAAAACACAAAAAAAAACACATAAAACATAAAAAACAATAATAACAAATAACAAATAACTGAAATAATTGCCGTAATCGTTTTGGATGCAGAAAAACAGACACCGAATTAAACAAATATAAATACACATATATAATAAAAAAAAAATACAGGGCCAGAAGCAGAACGCTGCTGTTGCTGCTGTTATTGTTTCGTCATCAAGCTGAAATTCGAGCTCGATCTCGATCTCGCATCTCGAATCTCGAAGTCGAACGTCGAGCGCGAGCGCGGAAGCGTGTCGGCTTTAGCTCTTACCAAATATGAGCAAACGGCCTACAAAATAAACCAGTAGCGTCGTAATCCGAGCAGCCGTGACTTTTGCACACAGCCAAATAACAGCACAATTACATAAATCAAATTAGAAAAGAGAAAAAATATCTCTGTTATTATTATGGAGCGTTCGCACAGCTGCAGCAACTTTGAGGCGTCGCATCAGGCTGCCATGCCGCATGCAACAGCAGCTGGCGGCGGCGTCGGTGGCGGCGGCGGCAGCAGCGACAACTTGCCACACTTGTCGCACTTTCCGCCCAACAAACCGTTGCGCAAGCGTCGCAAGCTGCAACGCCAGCAGCCAGTTCTGATGGACATGGACAGTGCCTATGCCGCTGATCTGGAGGATGCAGATCTGGAGGCGGAGGCCGAGGAGGGCACACTGATGTTGCCACACTTGCCACACAACACGAACAACAGCTTGCCCGGCAAGCGCCAGTTGCGCCACGAGGAGTCCTTCGATTCGAATAGCACCGCCCCAGAGATGAGTCCGCAGGCGGTGCGTCAACATCGATTTAGTACACTGCTCCTGCGCGACAGCTCGATCTCGATGCAATCGGATTCGAGTCGCTATTCGAGCGTCGACAGTCTGCTGGAGTCACGCAAACCCGACCCGGAGGCGATACTCATCAATCTGGGCTTTGGCCCCATCGGCACCGAGGATATGCTCGCGCGCATCCCCAAGCGTTTCCTCAAGCCCTCCAAGGTGCCCGGCATCGATACGGAGGCATTTGTCAAGCGTCTCCAGATGGCCAGCTCACTGGCCGATTCGAGTGCGTTGGGTTATCGGGGATTGACCTCCAGCTCGGATCAGCCGCCCTCGTCGATCGTGGCCAAAATCATGGAACGCTTCGAGGTCAACAATCAGCGTAAACAGTCCATGGGCAATATTGAGCACACGATACGCTGACACCTTAATATATATATTTATATATATATATATAAATATTGGCTAACATTGGCAGCCAGAGGGAGAGAGAGGGAGGGAGAGAATGGGGGTATTCCCCTTCATTAAGGGGGGTTTTATTGTCTTGTGATGTATATCTTGTCTATTAGAGTTTAGTTGTGCCGCGTACTTAGCTGTGTATTATCGTACCTTTGTACCTAACTATACCTATTTCTTGGCTTTTTTTAGTCATCTAAGTGTTAAATTAAGCATTAAATAAGCAATTGCATTTGAAAAAAAAACTAAAACTTTACTGTTTGTTTATATTTCGTAGTAGGTAAATATGCCTTGTTTTGTTATTCCTCTTTTGTGTTACATCCTTCATCGTTTGTAAATGGATGCATTTCTATCTCTTTCCTTCTCCTTTTTGACTTTTACTTGTAATAGCTCTCTTTCACTGTTCGGCTTTTACTCTGGCGTATGCTTTTATTGGTCTTCTTTGTTGTACATCCTTAAGCGTTTGCAAATGCATTCAAATGCATTCTGTCTCTTTCCCCCATATTGCGAGTGCCATAGTATTGGCTCTCTTTTATTGTTTCACTTTTATTCTCTTCTTCTTTTTAACCATCTTCCTCAATGCATATAGTTCTATCTCCTTCCTTTTACTGTTCGGCTTTCACACACACGCCAGCTTTTATTGATCTCCTTTGTGTCGCATTCTTAAACGTTTCGCTTGGCTTTGTAAGTGCATTCATGGCAAATTCCAAAGAGCTTTCTTCAAAGCTTTAATTAATCTTCTGAGCAATTCTTAATTATTTCGCATTCTAAAACGTTTTGCTGTTTCCTAAACTTAATGCATACAAACTAATTAAGTTATTTACGGGATGAGTTCGCTTTATACTTCTATTATTGAGATCTGTTTAAATAGATTCAATATCTGTTTAAATATTTGTTTATGCGATCTAAAAAGCGTGTCGTGAAACTGGCTTACTTCACTGCTAGAAGTAAAAAACTTCCACAAAACTATTGTTACATATACCTAAATAATTTATCTACTCTTTTCCATTGGGGGTTTTTTTGTTGTTATCGATGAGCTTACTTATTTTTGTTTAAATTTAGAAGTAAGCGTCATAAGTCAGACAGAGAGTCAACAAGCCCAGCAAAAAGGCAGCAAGCAAATACTTTTTGCGAGATAAGTGCAAATAAACCGAACTACAAGTGCTTGACTGGAAAATACCCTGTAAAAGAGTAGCGAGAAGTAACAAATTACAAATAGAAAGGGAAACAACGGAAAACAGTGAAGGAGTCAGAGAACAATCAGCTATGACAGAAAATCGTTATGAATTCTGAAAAAAAAAGAAAATTTAAAATTAATACATATACGATAAAAGCTAACGATAAATATATGATAATATATATATTTTAACATACTCCAGCTTTAATAATCTGTGAGTATTTGCGATCGTTGATTCATGAAAACAGACTTATCAACTTACTTGTGACATCAGATAAATAGGAAACTGACTTATAAAATGAATATATGAATACATATACAGATACAGATAAAAATAGCAAACTAAAAATCAATACTTAAAAAATGAATAAGCTTGGATATCGTTGATCCATAAAAGTAGAGCTGCTAGGAATGCACCCAACTTATTCTACTGATCAAAAAGACAGATGAAAATGGCTAGATTTCCGCTCTACGCACATTAGCACAAATTTCATATACAATTTTCAACATTATTACAGGGTATAAAGAGTGGAACATGCATATTTATACATAAGACTTTTCAAAGACCGGAGCTGGCTGACTGGCATATCTCGAATTTAGATTGTAATGTTACTTTTCTTGTTGTTGTTGTTGTTATTGTTATCGAAAGTCATTAAAGTTTATTATTAGCCCTGGGCTGTGTTGTTGTATTTTTTGCATAAAACAAAAATAACATTAGAAACAAACAAACAAAACCAACTATGGAAAGAAAAGAAAAATGAAAATCGATGCGCTGAAATTGACTACTTTGAGGGCTAACAATTTGTACTTGAGACTTGAGAGGTTTATTGATTTTAATTGGCTTTAATTGCTGAGCCAAAAACAAAAACAAGCAGCTGACGATGAAGCCAACTGCTGCCCAGTTAGTTCCTGGTGCCGCAATCATTCATCACGACCACAGTGAATGCAATATTGCATGCCACATTATTCGACACGCGTCCGCATTAGACGTAATTCAAATGTATTATATTTATTTGAACTCTTTGACTTTCTTCATTTATATATATATATATATATATATATATATATATATATATATATATATTTCACGCATATATATTTCAAGACAAATAAATCGTCACAGCGAGCAGCTGATAACAGCAAACACACACACACACACACAAACACACACGCACACTCCCTCGTGGAATATTTGTAACACCTTCAAAAGGCGGCACACCTGGGAAGTCTGTTGGAAAAATAGCACTGGGACAACAGTGTTCGCCCGCTATAACGAATTTTCTCTGCTTGAGACTTATTCTAATTGTTTTCTATTATTCTTAAAGCTTTTGTAAAAAGCATTTTCGAGACTCACAAAAAGTAGTTTTTATTTAAATCAGTTTTCTTAATATAAAAACTATAAAATTAACACAAATAAAAATATTATTCAAATGATAATCAAATACTATAATCTTAATACTTACTGCATCTTACGACAAATGCCGACAAAACTAAAACTAAAAAATAAATTGGGAATATTGATTAAAAAATCACAGCAATTTGTGGATATTGATTAAAAAACCTTAAATTTAAATTAAGCTCAGCAAGTCGGGAAAGCGTTATAAATCTTATTCTTATAATATGTTTTAGTATTCGAGCACATAGAGAACAAATATAGAAGCCTTGATTACAATACTGATTAAGGAAGTTAGTCATTTTAAGCTTAAGTTAATCTCAACAATTTCAAGTCACGAAAGCATTATTAAAAATGTCAATAAGAATGAGAAGCAAAAGTTGTAGTTTATCGAGTGTTTGCCGTATTTGAAAAAGCTAGCATATCTATTGGCCCAAATAAAGCAGTTAAAAGCGGCACATGACTCGGGTCTCTGTGTGTGGCATACAGTAATGTACCTCATCTATCTGTATCTGTGTCTGTATCTGTATCTAAATATGTATCTATTTGCCAAATGAATTCACAGCACCAAAGCAAAAAGCACCAGAAAAAAGCTAAAGCAATTTGCATATGTATATTGGATTTGTTTTTTGGGGTCTCTCTTTGACTTTTGGGTTGCAAGTTGTTTGTGGTTCAAGCGAACAAGAAGCTGGCAAGTTCAAGGCATAGATACAGCTGCAGATACAGATACAGATACACAGATACACCGATACACACATACAGATACAGATTGGTTATAGTCAGTGGCTACTTGACAAAAATAAACAGCCGTCCGTCCGCCCACGCCGGAAGCAAGCGAGTAAGCAACAGCAACAACAGCAACAGCAACAACCGCAACAAAAGAACAAGAAATGAAGAAGACGAAATCGAAAAGCAAATGCAAATGCAAAAATAATCAGCAAAACGGTCGCAGCAACAACAACAACATCAACAGCAACAACAAATGCAAATGCAAATGCATGAAAATATTCAAAATCTGTGTCACTGCTAGCGTTGAAGAATGCAATTCATTTATTTAAGTTGAACATTTCAATATAATTAGTGAGTGCCACAATTCGTGGGCGTTTGATTAATGGGCTCAATGTTTGTTTTTCTTTTCTTGCTTTTTATTATTCTTTTTGTTCATTGCCACAAAAAAAACACTTGCTCTATGTTTATTTAACTGTTTTAATGTCAAGCTCAAATTACAAATTCAAATTAGCGCGCTCACCTTACAGTGCTGCCACACAAAAAGAAATTGCTTAACATAGGGAGTATCACAGCTGAGCGCTTAACAGCGCCGTAACAGCAGTAGCGATAACAATTGACGCAATCGATTATCGCTCGGCCAGCGTCAGTCCGGTTTTTGTTGTCTCGCAGTTGCACAGTGTGCACGCACTCATCTAATATGTATATACACTCAATACACTCTAATTATACCTAATATGTAATTTATTGTTTCTAAATTGTGTTTTATTTTTTTAAAATACTGTACTTACCCGGTCGTTCCTAGTGTGTTGTACTTAATTGAGCATATTTGTAATGCGTCGCGCTTTCGTGTGACTTGTCCGATTTTGTGTGTGTGTTTCTCTGTTGTTTTTTTCTTCTCGCTTTTGCTTTGTGTATTGGAATACGTGCAAAATGGATGACGACCTGTGCAGGAAATATTGTGCGGACTGCCCAAGATGTCTGTGTGGACCACAAGCAGCTCAGCTGGTCAATGCCTAGAGACGCCGACACCCACCACACTCAAGTCCATAACTCACCACGCGCAACGCTCGAACTTGAACAACTTGAACTTGGGCACTATTTTGCAGCCAATAGTCAACGAGACTCACACGTCAACCAACAATACAACGCAGCAGCATTTCCAGCACGTTGTCGCCGCAGCAGTAGCAGCAGCAGCAACAACAATTGCCACTGGCCAACAACATCAGCAGCATAATTTTCACCTGCAGCCCTATCACAACAACAACAACAGCAATAACAATAACAACAACATAAGCAGCAGTTCTGGCAGCAGCAATAACGGCGGCAACGGCTTCAAACGTCCCAGTCTCAGCAATTCGGCACCGCAGCTGCCCGCTTCCAATCCGAATCTCAACCAAAATCACAGTCAGAATTTCTCAAAGGTAAGTCACAATAACCAATCACCACCATTTCCAGATTCTCTCTTTGACCCATTCGCTCTACTCTCTCTTTCTCTACTGTCTCTCTCTCTCTCTTTTACTTGCTCTCTTTGCGGCGCTTTCAAATCGAAACTGTAAGCTTGGCCTCCATTGTCAAGTCCAACCAGATCCCACATGCACACACAGTCACACACATATACAGTGAATACAGTGGGTGTGAGTGTGTGTGTGCGTACCTGTTAAAAAATATTGAATGCTTGCCTTATTTTATTTTTTATGGTTTGACACTTTGATCTCGATGATCTAGCTGACGTCATTGGGGCAAAGCTTTCGGTTTTTGTTTACAGAGTTGTGTTATTAGTTGGAGCTACAAATGTTAATAGACTGCCAACAGAGTATAGCGGATTGGGTAGTTACCAAAAGTTAAGTCAAGACAATAAATCAGTCAAAGCCGTTTCTTTTTTACTGCATTTTTTGACGGCAAAAATGAATATTTATCACACATTTTCAGCTGTTATTTCAGCGTATTCAGCAGTCGGATATGTTCTGACTTGTAAGTGTTTATTGTTGTTGTTGTCGTTGTTTTTTCTCTTTTGTTTATTGTATTAACTGCTCTTTAATTGAAACTTTGCACATACACACCCACCTGGTCTGTGGGTTTATCACTTGTTTACATACGATAAAAATTAAAATTGGGGCATTTTATAGAGTTCCCTCCTTAATTACACACATAAAAATACTAACGTATATATAATAATTATTTATGCATGTATATTTTGTTTTGATTTGGTTTTATTCAGCAGCGATAACGTATCCAGTATAAAAAATATTTATATTCATTTGGTTTTTGAGGTTTATTCAGCGATAACAAGCCAGCCATAAAAGACCTTTAAAATTTGTAATTTAAATGCGTTATATTTCTGTTGTTAAAAAAAAAAGAGAGATTAACATACGTCCTTGCATATCCTGCATATATGCATAAAATACTTTGGCAACGCTGTGCCAACTTCTGTTGTGTGCATGTAAATGACCTTCAGAGTGAACAGTCGAAAATTATTGCATAATAACCATATCAATTTATTATCCAAGCTTTCGTTTTCATTCATATGCATTCAGGTTGCAAATATTTGAATAATAATATTTTCGTGAAGCAAAGAATATTTACAGCTGCTAATTGCCTAACTCTGATTACAACAGCAACAAGATTGGAGCTTTCAGCTGATCAAGAATTTGGAGAATGCTGCACTCTGTAAACAACAGCAGCAGCCTAACAGAGAACTTTACTTGTTAGCAAACGCATAATGTAAATCAGCAGCAGCTTTACATTCTTTCACCTGTTAATTTGTACATAATGCGAATTTGCGAATTAAGATGTAGTAGGAGTACTCAAAACTTTAAATTAAAGTGTTCTTTTTTTTATCAAATTTAAATTATATTGTTTACTTTATGGGTCTGTGATAGATGTCTTCTTCACATTTCGTTACAAATTTATAACAGTCTCCGATGCCTAAGGAATGTAGAATTGATAATTTGTAGAATGCGCTGACATGTAAATAAATTAATAATAATAAAAATAAACAACATTTTTTGTTTACATGCTTGTTTTTATGTCACATTGTCAGATAAGAGGTCCGTTGTTTATTAAAATTGATATTCGTTATTTACGTAAGTTGTACTTGTTGATTGACTTTGGTTAACGATGATTTACTGTCAACCTTTCTGCCACCCCAAATAACTTTATAGTGAATTAATTGTTAGGTCAGCCGAGTCTTCGAATGCTAATTGAATCAATTCAAAATCAGAGAATTCACACACACATACAGCATTCCCGTTCACAGTTCAGGGTTGTGTCGATTTCCCCATTGATGATCAACAGATGCGCGACAGGTAGACAAAAAAAATCGCTGATTAATTGCCAAGAACCAGCCAGACAGATACGAAGTGTAACATGGCAGAGAGACAGAGAGAGAGAGAGAGAGAGAAAGTACCTCTGCCGCTCAGTCGCTATCTCTTTTTATTTTAGTTGTTATTTTTCCGTTTTACTTTTCCTTACCCACCTCCGACTACGTTTTAGTCGCCTTCTGTTTCGGTTTAATTCAAATGGCATTTGTAATTCGATTTTCTATTGTTATATTGTTGTTGTTGTTGTTGTTTTTTTGTCGTCGCAGGCCCCCGAATTGATTGTCTATTTTGAATATCACGCGCGCCTCCGTCGACAGTTCACCAAACAGCGCCAACGTCGGCGCATCAAAAGCGGCGCATCGTCGCACGTCGTCAGTCGTCGTCAGTTGCTTTCGTCCGTCGTTCTCGTCGTCGTATCATTTAGTTGTTAACTAGACGTCGTCGCGTTTTCGCACCAACAACCACCAATCACCAGTCACCAACCAACCACCCACAAACACATCACACATCCCAGCCAAGAAACACGGAAAGCAAGAGCAAAAAAAGCATCAAAGAGAGGCGACACACAGCGGAGAGAGAGAGACACGCAATAAGACTGAGAGAGAATGAGAGAAGCGCACGCAAGGAGCGAATGAAGCGTCGAAACAGAAACAGAAATGAATTAAATGTGTCGAACAGAGCCGAATTACTATTAAATTTTTTATTATCGTTTCGCTGCTCGCCCTGAACTTGTCCCCGTGATCGTGATTAATGCTGTTTAAGCTAAAAACAAAACAAAAAAACATATAAAAAGCGCCTAAAACGCGTCTCCAAATTGAACAACGGCAAAGCGTGCTTATTTTTGATCGGTTTTTTGGCCTTATTTAATCCATGCAAATATAAATAATAAATAAATAACTAAAGACGCGCTAAGCTGTGTGTGTTTTATTGACCCATGTATTTTGCAATTTTTAGATACTATAAAATGTTTATAAATAAAAAGTAAATATTTAAATAACCCACACACACAAAGAGAAATTCAGCGAACGCAAAAAAAAAAAACTGCTGATGCTAAAATTTGCCAACAAACTGACAATTAAACCTAGCCGCACACAGGTGCGTGTGTGTGTACTCGTATGTGTTTGTGTGTGTATGTGTGCAATCGCTGATCAATTCTCATGTGCTGTTGACAACACAAATTCGCCCTGTATGCAATAATTAATTAATAACAAGAGCAGCAGCAAAAAACGCTATCAGCATCGTCATCAATAATAAGCTGAAACAAGGCGAGCAAAAAAAGCTCAAGTGGAATTGACAAATTAAGAGCAGCTCTCTCTCTCTCTCTCTCTGTCTTTGACGTGAGCTTTTAGGGCGGCTTAGAACTGTTTGAAATTTTTCTTTCGATTCGAAATTTTGAAATTCAAACAACATTTTATTAATCTACATATGTGTGTGTGTGTGAGTGCGTGACCTGATAAGCACACTTACATAAAATAAAGTGTGAGCAAAAAGGCAGAGCATAAGAAAAAGAAAAAACAAGAAGTGCACATGCGTTCCAATTTCTCTGAAGTGCCGCTCAAACCGCCTCGACGCCAAAAGCTCCAGGACAAAGAGAGTGAGCGTGAGCAAGAGCAAGTGCACGAGCACGAGAGCGAACACGAAGACGAATGCGATCATCAGGCGAGCGAGAAACTGTTGCCGCTCAATCCCAGAAGCATGTACTCAAATTTACGCTATGCACGCACAAATCTCAGCCACAGCAACCTGCTGCTCAGCCATCAGCAAAGCTCATTCGATGGCAGCGCACTCACATCGACAGAGCGCACCGAGAGCAGCGAGACGCTCGATACACCGTTAACCCGAGAGTGCGAGAGAGAATGTTCTCAGCGAGAGAGAATGCTCGGTTTGCCGCGGCAACTGTCTTCGGGTCGCATTGTCGCCGGCGGCGCTTCGGTAAATAGTCGCCGTTATGCTTTGGCCAGTGCACTGCATGCAACGGCAAAGCTGGCGGCCAGTGTTGATGCCTACACAGCGGCAGCGACTGCAGCCGCCGCCTCTACAACACCAACCGAATACAGTTTGTATGATTCATGTCGCCCGCTAAGGCTTAATAACAACAGCAGTCAGCAGCAACAGCACCAGCATCAGCCAGCTAGCAATCTCAGTCGTCACACCCACTCGGGTGCGAGCAGCAACGTTAGTTCGACGCGGTATCTCAGCAACTACAGCAATTTGCATTCGAATTCGCCGCACGCGAGCTCGAGACGCTTCAACGCGCAGCTAGCAGCGTCTCAACTGCCGTCGTCGCCGCCGCTGTTGCCATTGCCATTGCCATTGCCAACGTTGCCAGCAGGTGCAGGGGTATCCGCTTCAATAGTACAGTCCTCGTCCAGTGCATATCCATATAAGTTACGCACGTATCAAGAGCAACAATTCTCTCGTTTTCAGCCACGCCGCATCGCCCGCAGCAGCATGTCGCAGTCCGGCGAAGATCTCCATTCGCCCACTTATCTCTCCTGGCGCAAACTTCAGCTGAGTCGCGCCAAACTGAAGGCCTCCAGCAAAACATCCGCTCTTTTATCGGGTTTCGCTATGGTGAGTAATCCAAATCAATTCATCACAGTTAACAGTTAGTCCCAAATCGTTTCGTATACCTAATTCTATTGCATAGCGAATCAAAATATGTAAGTTGAATTAATGCCATGTTCTCTCTGATCAGAATCATTGTGTGAAACTTTTACATACCCTTTATTCATTTGTGAATCAGAATAAATACAAATAAAAATAACAATACATATTCTTATGCATTGAGGTCAATAATCAGAATTGAGTCTTTATATAACGAACAAAGCAAACATAATTAAAAATTGACTTTTCGATTACCTTATTATTATGACAACTTTAAATAAGGTTTAATGGTAGTAGATAAAATACAATTTTTAATTATTATGAGTCTCTTAAATGTAGATACAATTAATTTCTGTTAATTTACATAAAAGAATATTCATATAAAATATTTGTTCAATTCAAGAGAAATAAACTAGTGCACAACTTTTGTATAGGGTATTTCCTAGTCGTAATAACTAGAGTACCAGCCAAATAAATACTTGCATACCATAATAAAGTGGAGGGCATACAGACGAGGATAAGCGCATAAATTGGCCGCACATATATATATATATATATATATATATATATATATATATGTATATGTATATATATATTTTCATATTGAATATGTAATATATATCCGCGACAAAATCGGTTGCCAAAATGCGAAACAAGAATTGGCTAATAATATAATTAAACTACATCATAAATTAATCTCTCTCGCGCTCTCTCTCTATCTCTATGTGTCTCTCTTTGCTCTCTTTGTGCTCATTGATTGTTTGCCTTTGCAGGTGGCCATGGTGGAGGTGCAGCTGGACAAGGATACTGGTGTGCCGCCCGGGATGCTGGTGGCCTTTGCCATCTGCACCACATTGCTGGTGGCGGTTCATATGTTGGCCCTGATGATCAGCACCTGCATTCTGCCCAACATTGAGACAGTTTGCAATCTGCACAGCATCGCGTTGGTGCACGAATCGCCGCACGAGCGTCTCCATTGGTATATCGAGACGGCCTGGGCATTCTCCACACTGCTGGGACTCATCTTGTTTCTGCTGGAGATTGCGATACTCTGCTGGGTGAAGTTCTATGATCTTAGCACAACGGCTGCCTGGTCAGCGGTTGTTGTCCTCATACCGGTCATGATCATATTCCTAGCCTTTGCCGTGCACTTTTATCGATCGCTCGTCACGCACAAGTACGAAGTGACCGTGTCGGGTATACGGGAACTGGAGATGCTCAAGGAGCAGCTGGAACAGGATCATCTCGAGGTCTCCAACAATACACGAAATAATGGCTTCAACTATGGCGCCTCCGGTGATATTGTTTAGTCTCCATAATGCAATCCCACACTATATATATTTGTAAAATCTAAAAAGACATAATGTGCGCCCAGCGAGGACTGAGGAGAGGACAGTGTAGAGGAGAGGAGTGACGAGGGGCTGCACGTGCTGAAGCCAGACATAAATCTTTAGACTACATATAAATGTTGAGTAATGTGAATTATGTTTGTTGTGGCTAAAGCAAATTGTGATACGCATAAGGCAATACATTTTTTGTACTACTTTAAAAAACTATACACGATATTTTGTATATTAATACTACATATATATAGTATATATGCGATTACAGTGGTCGCTGGCAAATGTTTAGAACGAATAATAGTGCTATTTACAGAAAGTAAGTCAATTCATTTTAATATAAATATTTTCCTATTTCATAATGTATTTAAAAAGTGTTCAAAAATGTAGTTAGTATTCCTGTTTTTTAAATTTAATGATTCAAATATTCCATGTGGAAAAGTTTTCTAAAACAAAATCTTATAAATTATATATATATATATATATATATGTACATATATATATTGGTTTAAATTTCAAATCAAAAATGTATGATTGTAATATATGAAGCCCGAATTATAAAGCGACCACTGAATGTGGGACTCAGTCTGTAAGAGTTAAGACAACCACACACATTTATTGGTAGGCCTATGTGTAAGCGATATCTCGTCGTAATTTATACATGCATATACTTAATTAAAGGTTTTACTTTACTAGACAACCTATACCCTTAAGAAATGCCCAAATTAAACACAACCCAACCCCATATAGATATATATAGCTCCACCCAATCTCCCCAACCTCGTTCAATTTGTGTGATTGGTTAAGTTTGCGTGTCAGGCATTGGCCTCCATTCAAACTGGCGGTTTAACCTATTGTGGCAAGGAACAAGACATGTTAGCAGCTTGATTAGAATAGCGGCCCCAACTCCAAACCACATCGACACCCTTCTGGCGACTGGCACCGCTGCAGATGTGACAAACGATTTTCCTGGTTCCACTGCTTCACTCAGTTGCGGGCACAATGTCGAACCGTGCAACTGGCTGTGGCAGCGCCAGCGGAGTCCGATGCCTCCGGTACACCACCGGCGGTGGCTATTACGAGGGCAAGTGGCTGCATGGCCATCATCATGGCTATGGCGTCAAGGCTAGCGGACGCGGTCTCATCTACGAGGGCCAATGGCGATCGGGCCAGCGGCATGGCTACGGTACACTGCGGCGTCAGTGCCACGACGGACACGCCCATCGCCTCTATGTGGGCCAGTGGCTCGACGATGTGCGCTGTGGCGAGGGCAAACAGTATTATGAGGATGGCTCCGTCTACTTTGGCCAGTGGCTGCACAATGAACGACACGGTCGCGGCATCCAGTGGCATGCGGATGGACGCATCTATGTGGGCGAGTGGCAACACGATGCCATGCACGGCCGTGGAGTGCTCTACTCGGGTGAGTGCTGGCTAGAGTTCAGCAAGGTGCTCCCAGAGTGAGGTGTGAATGAAAAGGGAAAGGGAATAGGCCACCTTCTTTTCAAGTGTAGAGGGAAAAGTGAAGAAGGTTAGCAAGAAAGAAACGTTGACTCATTTCTAAGCTTGTTTTGAGCTCTATTTTAAATTTACTTCAAGCTTTGCTTTACAAATTTTTCTGTTTGTTTCTCTATTTCTTACTTCTCGCTCTTTTTGCTAGTCCATTAAAATCTTCTCGCTCCTAAACGATTGTTAAGTGAGCAAAATATTGAAAAAATTTCAAGAGAAGAAAGGATTGGAAGATGCCAGTAGTTAAGTGTCATGTGATTAAGAGATCAAAGACTTCCAAACTATCGCATCATACTAAATTGCTTTTATTCTTTGTTTTGTAAGCTGAAGAATTCGAATAAGGTTCTAAAGTCTTCTCTGCATCGGATGGCAAAAGCAAAATGAGATCAGCTTGAGATGGGTGCCTGGTCACCAAGACATTGAGGGCAACTGCATAGTCAGGATAGCCACTACAAAGAAGGACTCAAGGTTCCAATTAATGATTTCTGCAGAAGCTGCAAAGTAGAAAATTGCCGAAGACTTATTCTGCTTCTGCCTGACAATTGCCAGGCAGAGATTAAGCACAGGGTGAGGAACCTTTCTAGGGGATCTATTGCATAGACTAGACGCAACTTTGGCTGGACTCATTTTTGCTTAAGGACTCCAATTTAAGTTATCACAACTGGCCAAATCTTAGCTAACCTATCCTATCTACTCAATTGAGCAATAAGAGTAGAAGTGAGAATAGTCAATGCCTCGTCAGAGCTGGAGATCATCAGTTGAGCGAGAATATGGCTTATTTGCTTGCTGCTCTGTCTTCTCTGTCATTGAAACGAGCCTCTTTCCACAGCCAATGGGAATCGCTATGTGGGTGAATTCGAGCGTGGCTGCAAGTCTGGCACCGGCGTCTACTATCACGAGGGTCCCCACGGTCAAGCTGTGCAGCAGCACGGCATTTGGAGCGATGACATCTGCAAGACTTCGATGCTGCCGGCCAAACCGAAGCGGAACCCGAAACCAGCAGCTGAGAGCTGATTTTGTGAAATGGAACGTTTAATAGCTGCACAATATAAATATATATAAGTTTACTCAAATTTAAAAACGAATTCTAAAAGTAATCAGTTCCTTTGCCGACGTCTGGTGCTAATTGAGTCTGCCTGCAACACAGGTGTGGCAGCTGCTGGCTGGCGTCTGATGCGTCCACGAGTGCTGATTGTGCTGCTTGCTGTCCCAGGCGTCTCCTCGGGCGCCGCATTGGCTCTGCTGCTGCTGCTGCTGCTGCTACTGGGCTTTGGAGTGGTGGCAATGCGTCTCACTGACGCCAACTGCGTTTCAGTCGCCTTCTGCGAACGAGTCCTTGGCAGGCGAGTATTGGTTACAGATGTGGAGATCTTGAGCTGTTGGGGCTCGTCATCGCTGAGATCGATGATCAGCTGGCAGGCATTCAGATCGAGGCGTTTATTCGACCTGGATTTTGTTGACTTTTGACGGTCCGGACTGTTGCCCCTCTCACTGGAACTTGAACTGGAAGTGGAGCAGCTTGCCACGGCTGCATCCTCAGTGTAGATTGCAAATGCCGCCGGTTTCCTTGTGGTTTTTTGCTTCGATTTGGCGCCAGTTTTGGTGGCAGCTGTTGCCACTGGCGTTTTCTCCTCGGGTGATATGTTGAACTTGAGTGCACGTCGTGGATTTTGTGACTTGTTGCAAGGTGCTGGCGGAGGTGGTGGCTGCAACTCCAGCTGTGCGCTGCGCAACTGCAGCAACAGATTGTAACGGTAATTGACATCGACACGCTGCTGCAGATGCTGACTGCCATTCAGCTGCAATGTGGATGCAGTGAGCAGCTCAATAGCCTGCTGCTTGCGGCACGTGGCACGCAAATAGTTGGCCTGATACATGTGCAGCAGCATCAGCAAATGTCCCAAGCCGTTGCTGCGGGCCCCATCCTGTTGCAGCCAGGCTTTCGCCAGCGCATAGAAATCATCCAGCTGATCGTGTTCCCGATTCAGAAAGTCGAGTCGAGCATGCAGGCAGCCCACAACGAAGTAGACGCACTGCAGCTGAATGCTGCCACGCAGCACCGGATGCGACTCCTGAGTGTCCAGTTGCACGTAGCGTTGCAGCTTCAGTCGGTTGTTTCTTCTAGGCGGACGCAATTCCTGTTAAAATAATTCATATATACAAAATAATTAATAAATAAACAAATATTAAATAAAAAGTAATTGAATAAAAAATAATTAATTAATAAATAACAAATACAAGATTTTCTAGTGTCTGCTTACCAGTCGCGGCGATGTTGTCATTGCCAGCTGCTGTTGTTTCCTAATGGGCTCCACGCTGGCTGCGCTTTGTTGCTCCAGTTGCATGGCGAACATCCTGCCGACCAGTTCGCTCATGTGTTGCGTCTGGGCATCCATGGGTGCAGCAGCAGCAGCAGTCTTCGCACTTAGATGACAACTCTTGCTGTGCTGCTCCTGCAGTGCAATGGACTCGAGCAGCGGCTGCATGCAGAGAAAGTGCTCGATGAGACGCAGCTTGGAATGCGCCTTGTCCAGATACTCCATGCGCAGATTGGTCCACAGCCACGAGATGAGCACCTCGACGGCGCGCAGCACCATGCCGCTCTGGAGCAGCAATTGCAGCAGGCTGCTCGAGAAATTGGGACACTCGCTCAAGCGATTCGCTGTGCACTCGGTGGTGTCACGCACCAGATCGTTCAGCAGCAGAATTAGAGCACCCTGATCCATCGACGAAATGCCAATAAATTTGCGCACACTCACCGACAGGGTGTCCAGCTGCTGCAGCGATGTGGGCAGTCGGGCCAGGAGGCGACAGTGGCGCTGCTGATAGCACATGCGAAAGCGCACAGTCAACAGCGTCAGCTGGACAATATCACATTTGCCCACACGCTCTTCGAAGCCGTCGCGCAGCCGCTCTGCGTGCAGCAGCAACAGCTGGGCATGACTAATCCTGTCCAGGCGTGCATAGTAGAGCGCCAGGTGGCACAGGCACAGCAGCAGCGTTGTATGGTGACGCTTGAAGAAGTGGCCGGCATGCAGCTGGGGCCAGAGCTCATCCATCAGCTGCTCCGCATGCAACACCTCGTGCGGCAAGTCGAGCAGAGTGTGTTGCGTGTACCGTGCCAAAAAGTGGCTAAGTGCACGCAAATAGTTGAATCTATCGCCAAGCAGACGACATATGCGCAACAGCAGCAGCCAAGCCCTGTCCGCCTGTGTGGTGTAGCCCATGGTGGACAACGCCATGGCCGTCGCAGTGCCATCATCTATCAGCGCATCCCAGTCGATGAGCGCCTCGTCACTACTCAAAGGCTCTGCGTCAGCCTGCAAATGCAAGAAGAGATTAGAGAGGAGAGACCAATTGGCAAGTGCTAAATCGGAGTTACGCCCTTGTCGTAATTTAAACCCAGAGTTTATTAAATAAACTCCAATCTATCATGGTGATATACAACTGATAAAAATTATAGATTGTGCAACTTTAAATTTTAGTTTGAAATGTTTGGTTTGAAGAAAAATTCCACAATTTTTATGCTTATGAATAGAATTGAAGAATTTATGAAATTGATTAACTAGCGTTGATATCTTATCAGTCAACCTTTATATTAGACAGCTCAATTGATACTAAATAAAATATATAGATAGATGCGTCAGTCTGCTTGAAGGGATTATAGTAGAGATAACTAATTGGTAATCTTAGAGATTCCCCCGATTTTATTAAGGAAACTGCAATCTATCATTCTGTGCGACTGATAAAAACATTCAACTTGTCAATCCTTAAGGATTAAATTGATGAATTGAAGAATACACAAAATTTAAATAGCGTTGATCAGACAGTCAATCTTTAACTTGGTCAACACAAATTACACTGTATATAAGAATATATATAGACTCTTACCCGATTAAAGAAGTCCTCAAAGGCGCCGATGGCTGCTGTTGCCAGCTCGACCAGCGGCATTTCGCTGCTGATATTAATGTGCAATATTTTATGTTTGATGAGCATCTGTTCGAGGCTCTTCTCTGTCGTTTCCTTAATGGGTATTTTCATTTTTTGCGCTTCGAGGGATTCCAATAGCTTTGTGACACTCGCATGTCCCAGCACCAGTTGTTGTAGCCGGCTCAGTTTCTGTTTACGTCCTGTTCGCTGCAGCTTCACACGCAGCTCCTCAAATTGTTGAATCGTTGGCTTGTCGGAGCGCATTTGGCGAGCCAGGAGCACCGCTTGATAGTCCGTTTGACGATGTCGCAGCAGTGATTGGAGCATTGGAGGTGTCTTCTTATGGGCCAGCACTGCCAGCATATCCAATTCGTAGAGCTTTCGTCTCTGTCTGCTGTCGAGCGGATTGCGGAGTGGACTACTCTCGTGCAGCTCGTAGACACACTTCTGCACCTCCTGTTTGCATTTGTGATAGTAGACGCACATCAGATTGAAGCGGCGCGAGGGGCAGTCCATGTGTGCTATATAGGAACAGTGCAGCTGCGCCGCCAGCTCTGCATCCGCAACTGAACAGTGTGCGCTCGCCTTGTAGAGACGACGCAACAATTGCCGCAACTCCGTTTTGCCCAGCAGTGGACGCAGCTGCTGCAGTGGCTGCAACAGCTGTTGCACAAGGCACATTTGCCTCGCCGTTGCCACCTTGTCCGCAATGTTGGTCACATGCCAGATAAAACCGATCAGCTCCTCGCTGCTGGGCAGCATACATTTGGTGACCTTTGCCACATCCATCGCATATCGCATAATGCTCACCAGACTCATCTGTTGCGCCTGTTTGAAGATACGATAATTATTTCTTTATTCTATGCAAAGGAATGCAGCGGAGTTTGTAGTTATGCATATTAAGTTATTACTATACAAGAAGGCACAATGATTAGGCAGGTCGTAGTTGAAATACCCTTGCTGCTTAAGTTGATAATAAACGAATTAATTTATACTATTAGAGTAGTATAATAGACTGATCCAAAGCTGACAAAAGAAGGAAAAGCATTTTTAAGCTAGTAGAAGAAAAAAATATTACGAGAAGGAAGGAGAAACTTTAATCTAGTGAGTTAATTTTTGTAAATTTCCATTTAAATATTATATTTTGTTTTTAATTTAATTGAGATTAAATAAATAAATAACAGCCTTTATCTATTGAGTTTGGTCGGGATAACTTGTTAAGCAAATATTTCTTTGAAACAAGAACTCATGGTCCTTTGGCAGCTATATGATATAGTGGTCTAAACGGATTCCAATACTGCCTGTAGTTATTAGAGTAGTGTTATCCACTTTGCCAAGCACCTCACCTCGATGCTCACTCACTCACTCACTAGTTAGTCAACATCAGCATATCATCAGGCTTACCTTTTGAAGCGTTGCTTGACCCGTTGGCTGCCAATTGCTGTAGGCAACTGTGGCGCAGTAGCCAAGCGAAAAGATGCAATGTTTTCGCACACTTTGACAATTGGGATCGTTGCTGCAGTTGGGCGCCAGTGAACGGCTGCTGCTGTTGCTGCTCATGTCCATTGAGACGCTTATTAGGCACTGCAGCAGCGCAAAGTGGGCAGCATAAACGGCAGCGCTATCCTCACCTTCCAAACCCTGCCAAAAGCCATTAAAGTTTGGCAACCGGCTGTCAACTTGATGCAGTTGCTTCTGCAATCGCACCAGGCTGAGCACAAAGTCGATGAACCACGGCTCCTGGGCATGCGCCGCGGCCTTCTGCTCAAAGTAGTGTACAAACTTCTTGGTCAGATCGATGTAAGCCAGCTTCAAATTGCTACTGGCTGTTGCTGCTGCTGCTGTTGTCGGGGTTTCCTGTGCGCAGATCAATTTGAGGTAGTAGTAGAGCAGCTGAATTGGATAGTTCTGGGCAGATTGATTTTTATACAGCTCTCGACAGCTGCGCAACAGCTGTATGCTCCAATTCATGGGAGACTGTTGCAAGGCGTAGCCATCCAGCTGCAGCAGCGCCAACAAAGCGCTCAAATATTCGGGAAACTGTTGCAGCAGCAGCTCCGCACTAAGCCCGTTGCTGGCGATTAGCTTGAAGAGTGGGTCGCAAAGCTTGTTGAGGTATTTGACGGGCAGCGTGCCGAGTATCTTGAGAAATCGGCTGCTACGCTTGCCCAGCAGCTGATTCAGCTCCACAATCAGCTCGACATAGATTATATTTGGCTGCTGCGACTGCAGATGCAGCATCGCCTCAAAAAGCACGCCTAGTGCTTGGATTGCTTGGCAAAGTTGTTCCTTGGCTTCTGGTGTGGCTTCTTTCTGCATTTGCTGACAGAAATAATACAGATGCTTGATGTGAATGCCCATATAAGACTTGTACTCAGCCTGGCCTTGCAGCTGGCAGCGTTGGGCATTGATCAGTGCATAGAATCTTTGGCATTGTTTAATTGTTTGCTGTGCAGAAAGAGATAGAAAAAGAGTTAGGATTATTTCCTGTATATATCAACCACATTTACCTCTTGGCAGAGCGAATGGTGTATGAAATGCAGGCTTATCACATGATTCGTCCAGAACTCGGGCTTCGTGGGGCAGGGCGCCACATGTGGCAGCATGCTCGCTGCAATGTCGCAATAGATGTCGGCATATTTGTGATTATTGTCCTGCAGAGCACAGCACAAATGCCGCAACACATTTATTTCGTATCGCAAAACGACGCTTGTTGTCCCGCCTTTTCTGATCTGTTCGAATTGTGCACTAATTGCCTTTGCGGCCGTCTCCACTTCGGTGCGTTTGCCTCTTAGCTGCTTTGGTAGCTCGTCACGTGACATTTTAATGCATTTAAAAGTTACTTTTTCTCCCAATCAATTTTCGACAATTAGTTCTTGTCAGCTTGCTTGCGAGAATTTTTTGTATATGTCGCCGATAAGTTGTTCACAGTTATCGATGTCGTGCGATTAATGGCAGTGCTGTGTAGTGTTTGCAGTGTTCAACACTGAACTGTAACATTGAGCGCGCTAAATTAAAATGGAAAATTCGCCACTGCAAGTTGAACAATTTATAATGCGGCGATAAACAACCAATTATGGACACTTATGCACAACGTGCAAAAGGTCAGCCGTCAAAGCGCAAGCAAACCAAATTGAAATGCCACAGCAAGGGTTAACCAAATTTATGTGCTTTACACAATTCACATGCGACTGGCCAAAATATGCATGTGATTTATGCCACATGCAACCGAGAATTGCTTCACCATGCTGCACAGAACGGTAACAGCTATGCAGAAATGCGCTTTATTGGCCTACGTTTCGTATTCACACTTGTGAAAGAGACAGCATGCGGCTTACCTTAAATGGCCAACAGATATGTGTGTAATAAATACGAGACACGTTTAACTCTCGAATTCGAAATCTCCAATGTCGGAAGTCACGCTTTAATGTTTTCCCCACACACACACACACGTACACTTTGTATGATTGATGAGCACACACACACACATATAGTTTCTGTATGTATATAGAATATATATATGGTCATTAGTGTTGAGGCTCTACGTTTATCTTTGTATTACTTTTACACACACATTAACATTAACTTGGGCCTTTAATTAAGGCGAAGTAACACACAAGAGACAGCAGCAGTTGCAAGTTGGCTAAGACGCCAACTGTAGGGCTTACTTGACATGTGTATATTGGTTATTTGTTTGCTTTTTACTCAATAAAATTGACAGAAGAGATAACTCTTTGGCATTAAGTATAAGCATATATATATGTATATATTTATATATATATATATATATTTATAAGTAAAGAATGATTAAGGGCGTACTTAACTTATCGGGAATTAATTTTTTTGTATTTAAGCTACTTGCCATCTAAGTAATATTCTTATATCCTTTATTTTAGTTTATTTTGAATTTTAATTAATTACTTCCTTTAAATGTTATATAATTTAATTTGTTACTTTTATCTTAACTATAAATGTTCCTTAAGTTTATAGATTTTAGTACATTTTAGTAGTTAGTTGGATGGTTCTGTTTTGTTCTTATGTAAGTCTTAATGACACATCTTCTCAACTGCTAATTGAGCTCACTCTGCGATTCACATAAATTCAAGCAGAGCCTACTGTCCACAGGGTATCAACTAGTTGGTCAGCCACGCAACTAGTTTAGACTTAATACTCACTATTATTACAAATATTGTCTATTTAGCTTATAGAGTCATGTGATATGCCAAATTCTCAACAACTTGACCCATAATTTATGGCAAGTCATGTCGCTTTAACCAAGTTTACTTAACTTAACGGTGGGAAACAACACTCGATTGTATGTGGCTCTATTCCTAAACCAATCTATCTATCTATCTATCCTGATTTTGTGGCAGTTGAGTTTTTGGGTTTTACTTCAGCTGATTTGCTTGCTTAAATATTTTCACAAGATTTATGGCTTGTGGTCAAATGTGGTTTGTTTTTGATTTACTCACATTTTACAGAGGGTGTTGTGATTTTCTTGTCTTGATGATATACATACTCGTATATACACATATTGTGGATCAAGTCAATATAACCTTATCCTGCATCTGACACTTATTATATATATATATAGCTGGCATATAGGACTGGTTGGTTTCTTGTAATTGTTTAAATGAATTTTTAACTCTTGTCTGTTAGAGTATTGTATATTCGGCTTGCTCAAAATACTTTCTCTCTCTGGGTATTTCTCTTTCTAAGACTTTAATATCCGTATGAATGTTGAAAATTTGCAATTTCATGTTGTAAAATAGAAGTTGCCATCGCAGTATTATTCAGCTGTCAATATTTGTGAAAATCAAATGCTCTGTTTACAGAAAATTGCATAATAAATAAACTTGAACATAAAACTGGCAGAGGCAAAGCTGGAAATTGGTGGCGGTGCCAAAATGCATTTACATTTCCACACTCTCTGCGTCTGTCTGTGTTTTGAATTGTGTTTTAATTATGTGCAAATAGACAGACAGACAGACAGTCAGACAGACAGATAGATAGCTGGATAATCCTGGTGGCAGTTCATTGAAATGTTGGCGAAATGCGAAATTCATTCAATTTTTCATTCGTTGCTGGCATAATTAAATTAGGCGCTTGACTAATTTAAATGGATCTCATTTGTCAGCAATACGGCGATAAACACAGTCGTATACCTGTTTTCATTCCCTTTGACTTGTGGAATTTCGTGTGACAGGCAACAAGGATTTATTGGCGCTACAATTGCCTAACAACTACAAAACTGCTCCTAATTAATTTCGCAGCTCAAGTGAAAAGCTGTCAGGCAATGGCAACGGCAACGGCAACTGCGCCGCACACGCCAAGAAAATGTCGGAAAAGCCGCTGCTGCTGCTGTGCCATGAGAATAAGCTGGCAGCTAAGGGAAATTGTAACGAAGGATGTGTTGTGGATGTGGATGTGCTGGAATCACATCGTCACGTTACGGGTAAGTTGAAGCTCATTAATTAAACATTTAATATGAAACGGAGCAGTATTTATTTTTGTTTCTCGTTTTGATATTTGAAGATACTTTGAAGAAATGACTGGTTGCAAAAATCCAAGATTTGCTTTTCAATATGATGGTTGAGCTTACAGGATTATAAAAATGCATTACTTATGGAGATTTCGATTTTGTCCATATCTTTTAGCCATTACTAATATAGTTTTATAATAGTTTTTGCAAAGCTTAAAGCTACTTTATCAACCCAATTTAATCGATGACTATCCTTGACTATAAATATGTTAAAGTGTTTTCTTTAACTCAAATGCGAGTTTTTCTCATTTAAAGCAGCCCAATTGCTGTATTCCTCTATTTTTACCTTGCCCCCGGCAGCTCTTGCAACCCTTTTACGCCCGATTGCAGCTGTTGACAGGTTTTCAATTTTTTGCCCTGTTTTTCGTTGCCTTGACACAAACTTGACCAATGCTACCGATGTGTAGCCCTCCTCAGAGTCTACCCCAATTTTTTGCTTTGCAAGCTGTCAGGCGCCAGTTGCAATCCACTCTGGATGAAATCTCGGCCCCCTCCCCTCCCCCACACCCTGGGGCACAAATCAAGTGGATCCACTTGCGACATGTGTGCGAAATTCACGCTTGAAAAGCATGTGGAAAATGCTGTCGCTTGTAAATTTTTGTTGGCTTGCGACGAAATACTTGAGCCGTGAGTAAGGGGAAAAAGGATGAGGAGGGATGTGGCACAGAGACAACATTAATTTATGGGCTGCATGCCTCAGCGCCAGCATTGCAAGTGCCGAGCGCAATTTGAAGGGGCGGCTATTGGTTGCGTTAACGACTCCATTATAACTAAAAACTGGGCAAATTCGGGCAAAGGGGATAATACTCCTTATTCCGCGCCAATCGCCACCAATCCCCGCTGCTGGAATTTAATTAAAATAGTTTGACTTACGCTCGCTTTGCTGACTAAGTTGTTTTTATGGACACGCTTAACGGTTTCGAATGCATTCATAAAAAACTTTTCGAGTGTCAGAATTATGTTCAGTGAGCCAGCTCTTTTGTTTGTAATACCCTTTAAATATCAAATATTGTGGCATCTGCAAGCATTATGTGACGCATTGAGACAGACACCGATGAGCTGATATACATTCAATTATTTATTTACTTTATTCATATGTAGTTGCAGCCTTGCTTAATTATATTAAATATGTGTAAAATATGCTCAATTCTACTTTGTGTATTTGTTTTGATTTAATTATAAAAAAGATGTACATTAGACAAATTTTATAAGACATTTTTGAGCGTGCGAAAACGTTTCTTATTCCAAGAGTAAATCTATGCTATATTTGTCATATCCACAAACATAATAACATATATAATATTCACTCTAGTCAAAAATATGTTAAATTTGAAATTGTGATAACTAAAAGTGTACTTATGAAAAAAGTCTTAAATGTTTTATTAATTATTTATTTTAGAATTATTTGCAGACTAGAAAGACTCACTAATTAAAATATTTTGACTTTTATTTCAGAATAACAGACTGTATTTATAGCTAGGGTATTAAAAAAAACCTGTTCATGCTTGGTCTTGCTTGATTATTATTTGCCCCATTCCGGTGCGTCATGGGGTGGGGTCTCTTAATGACCTTATGTAACAGAGCCCTCCCCTCCTTCCTTAAATTCCAGAGTGAGTCATTGGCATTGACGGCTGGAAGCTGCTGCCACAAAAAAAAAAAAAGAAAAGAAATTTGAGCTGATTATCGCCGCACACTCAAGTGTCAATGGCCAAAGTTTTTTGGCCAATAACGCCAGTTCAGGCATTAGCTGTAAATGAATATTAATGCTTATATTTATGTTAATGGAAGCAGATCAGATATGTTGGCTACTGGAAGTATCCGTTTCCTGTTTTTGGCCACTTTCAAGCCGCTTTCGAATTGCGCTTAAAACCAATTATCAAATCATGTCGCTGCTGGCTGACAAACTCATTTATTTTGCTCCCGGACATGCCCACATTGCAACACACACACACACTAATCAAGTCCAAGTGCAAGTCAAGTCAAGTCAAGTTCCAATTTTACTTTCGTTTTACAACAAGAACAGCGAATGATATATATTTATATATGTATATATATATATATATACATATATATTTTCCATGGGAGACTGAGAGATCCACAAGCTGTCAAACTGTCGCCAGGGCCTGAAATAGTCATTATTCAGTGTCAGAAGTTGTATAGTTTTTGAAGTGGTGGTTTCCAACTAATTTTAATGTGTGAAAATTAATTTTGTGGGCATTGGTTTAGTTTTGCTTTTATACATATATGTATATATGGGAAACTGCCTCGACCTGAGACGCCTACCAATTAGCTTGCTCAATTGTGCTTCATACCTATGAGAACCTGTCGATTTTTTCCTGACCCCCTACATATCTCTCCTGCACCAGTAAAATGACAAACTTGTATCTATAATAACTAGACAATGTTTATTTTATTTTCTATTTATTTACTGAATGGATTCTAAAAGCAGTTGAAAATTTGTAAGGAATGTTTTTGGAAAATATAAATTGAAAATTAAATTTACACTTTAAATGATATTAAATTAGGAGCGATATATTTAGATTTTATTCAATGAATAAAAATTGTTTTTTGTTTGGTGACTTTTTTTTTATAATTTAGATATGTATTTTGCTGGCTACACTCAAATATATCCCATATAAATCAATTTTGAAATATGTTGCCGTATATCCACAATAAAAATAAAACAAATTTAATTTCTGTTAACTAAAACAATAATAATAAATTTTGAAAACAAGCTGACAGATTTTAAACACTGATAACTAAACAATTTATATATTAAGATGTTGCTGCAAAATTGTAGACTCCAGAAACGGGAATAGTATAGTAATTTTAAAAGCAAGGAGCATAACTCGACTCTTATGTGTTACACAGGGTATGCACAAGTCTAGCACACACACACACGAGTAGTTCTCACATCAATTTAAAAAATACAATCGGCATAAATCATGTGATAATGGGAATTATATAGTTAGTTTAAGGCTAGAAGCCCAACTCGACTTTTATCTTCAATCAAGCATTTTTTGTGTTGCAGGGTATTTGTTAGTGTAGCACATACACTGGTAGCTCCCTCGCCAATTTAAAAAAATACAATCGACATAAATCATGTGGCAAGCGCCACGAAGCACACGGCGACATATTAAATTTACAAGCTGATTTTGATTTATGCGCGTAATGCATATAAATATGTATTTATTTATTATTATTGTTGTTGTGGTTGTTGTTGTTGTTGTTAGTGCTGTCAAGTCGACTCGACGCTAACTTAATTTAGCTCTTGCGTTTCTCATCCTCTCTCTGTCTAACCATGCCTCACTGTCTTTGTCTCATTTTCGCTTAGCCTACGCAATTTGCGGTATGCGGCAACGTCACTTACAATTAAAGACTCAACAAGATAGGACGTTGCAGTCGGGCGTAGCAGACTACTTTGATACCATAAGTTAGCCCAGCAGATAACAAGTAACAAAGATCCGGGTGAGTGTAGCCAAGAATTACCGTCTAAGTTGGCCTTTCAAAGTTTGGTAATCGTAGCTGTTAAATTACGGAGATATGTGATTTTGGAAATGGTCTGAAAATTTATATGCTGATCGGTGGAGGAGGTTACCAGCAAGTTACCTTTCAAGTTTGGTTACTCTATCTTTAGAATTGTGGGAGATATGCTTTATCGATGGCTTATCGATTTACACTTTCCGAAATATCGGCATTGGCGATTATGGGCGTCGATGTGGGCGTGACCATAAAAATATGTTATCGGTTCTTAAAGGTGGCTACCAGTAACATACCTACCTAATTTGACTGTAGCCTTAAAATTGTGGGAGATATCTGGCCTTATCGATTTACGAATATCGATTTTATTGATTTCATAGCCCCCTGGTGGGCGTAGCACTCTAATTTGTACACTTTGTCTGAGGGTAGCAAATACCAGTATGAGTTTCAAACTTCAAGTCTCTATCTCTACACTCACCAGGAGAATATATATCCAAGAAGAAGAAGAATATTTGGTAAAATTGTGGTAATGATTATTTAATTATTATTTCGTTTTCGTTGAATTTATGGCCTTTTGACTGATTCTGAGCTTGTTTGAAGGACCTCCGAGAGTCGTTATCAGTGCGCAAGATTTAATTACTCTGTATAGTTGACATAGAAGCAATATCTGTCTGACAATTATAAATATAACATAATGAGGCACAGATAGGAAGGCATTCTAATTACGTCTGACAAGCTCTGACTGTTTATTCATGTAGAACTTCTCGGAGTATCTCATTTGTAATTTGTGGGCGTTTTAAAGTGCGTCGAAGTTACTTTCTTCGCCTTGGTCTGACAGACAGCTTCATTAATTAAAATGAAAATTAGTGGTTTTATATTGTAGGGGATATGCAGGAGGAGGGGTAATGGTAGTGGGAGACCCCATTCCGGGAGGCCCCATTCAAAAGCAGCAATTAGTGGCGAGCGTGTAAAAATCTTTTCGCTGCCAAATTTTATAAATCCACATTCAAAACCTGACCCACTTTTGGGCGAGCTGATGAAGTCAGTGCAATCATCTCCTGTTCCCTCTCCCGTCTCTTTCTTTCTTATTCCCTCATTCTGTCCAAAATGTAGAGATAGCAATTTGATTTTTAAATCTCCGTCAACTCCCTTTTCCCCTGGCAATTTGTATAAATGTTCGTGCATTTAATATTACATTTATCATTTCACCTTTTCTGCAAGTCAGCCTCTTAAGCGCAATATTAAAGTTTGATTTAAAAAGAACTAAACTATTCAGTTGTGGCTAATGTCTAACTTTAAATTAAAAATTGCGACTAGTTTATAAAAATACCAACTGTAAATGAGTTGCCTGTGCGAAAGTGTTCAGCATTCTTTTGCTATGGAAATTTTTCTACAACTCTCGACCACACAAGCTGTCCGCTGGGACCCTTAGTTTGTCCGAGAGGGGGGCAATCAAACGAGTTGTGACCGCAACAGTCAGCAGAATATTAAAAAAAATACATATATATGTATATCGGACTGTGCGCTCTTTATGCATGTGAATGAAAAATGCAATGCTCGTTTAATGGCAAAAAAATAAAATAAAAATAAAACAGTACAAAGTTACAAGCCAAAAGGGCACATGTAAATAAATATATGACAGCTGGAATTAATTGAAAAAGTTGACATATTGCTGGAACAGCGTCGCGACATTTGCAAATTGTATCAACATGTATTGCAAACAGACAAGGCAATGCAATATAAATCAATTAAATCAATTTACTTTGAAGCTTAAATAACGCATGAAATGATTTAATTTGTTACGTCAATTCAAATTGTGCACAGTTGGCGCCACTCAGTGTTGGAAAATCCAGAGAGCAAGAGCAGAGAGCGCGTTAGCATCGATACACGTAACGATACTCACTCTCAGAGCTGGCCACTCACTGCAAATGTGCGTCCCTTTGCTCTCTTCGTCTAATTCAACGCCTGTAACTCTGCTTCTTGCTCAATGCCTTTCGTCAGTTTCGTCCGAATTCTCATCGCGTGTGGTTGGTTGCGCACATGTTGCTCGTGTAATGCTTGTGTAAAAAGCCTTTAAATAAATGAAAATATTAATGAAGTGCATATAACTATAATGTAAAATCAAAATTACGTTTAGCTGGCCCAAGTGCAATTATCATATACATATATTAAGTGCAAAATATGAATTAAGCATAACAAAAACGATTCGCAACGGTTGCCTGCGGCCAGACGACGCAAATGTTAGTGTGAGTGAGACAACGCTAGTGTATGCGCACAATTTATTGCTGCGTTTTTTGTTGTTACTGTAGATATTATGCCTGGCGCTTCTGCTCATATGCAGTTGTTGTTGCTGCTGCTGTCGTCAGATGTGCGAGTGTTTTGTTTGTAAAAGAACAAGAAAAGAAAAAGGATTGTTTTGTTGTTGCTGTTGTTGCAGCCGGTAAAACAAATAGTAACAGCTTGAAGTTTCAATGCAAATAGCGCAAATAGTCGCAACATATTCGGAGCAAAAACAACAACACTCAAAATTCAGGCGAATACACAAGAAAAGAAAAAGGTGGAGTGAGCGTACAAAATAAAATAATAATGTGCAGACGGAATGTGGAAAATATGTAGAATGTTTGTGCAAAAGTAACAGCGCAAAGGAAATCGAAACCGACACCGAAACCCAAAACAACACCAAAGCAATAAAGAGAGGCCCTCGAAATGCAGCAGCACATTAGAAACAACAAATACAACAAAGTTTAGAAGCGAAATAATTATAATTTAAATTCAAAACACACAAAATCATCGCAAACAACGGTTTAAATTATAATTGCAACAAATATACGCAATGACTGATGCGGATCCAATGAATTGTATGGGGACTTGGATTGTGGTGTTCGCGGCGTTTTTGCACCTGGCAACATTTTCGCATGCAAGCCAAGGTGAGTAACGAAATCAATGATAACGATTGTATTTGTGTTTTTTTTATTATAGTTTGGTTTCGTATCACGAGCACAGTTCGGTCCCGCCTATATCGTTGATATTGAGATATGGCACTACGTACTGGGTGACAAGTTGTCTGGCCGACGTGCAACAGCGCAGGTTTTTTTACGCTAAACTAAAAGTAAATTTAGTTAACCTTATGTCAACAGTTGATAAGCTCAATATTTGACCATATCCGCACCTCAGCAGTACAGTGATTAATCAGTAATTGTAACCCGAGCACACTTCTGTATCTTTCTGAAAATATGTATCCCTAAATACAAGTTTTTGCAAGATGTAAATTTGAATTCATTTTTATAATAAAATGATATTTTATTACTTTACCACCCAAAATTGTAACCTTTAGCGATCTTTGACTGTGGTTAATATTTCACAATACGTTTCGGCATTACCACATGTCGCAAATTGACGCAAATTGGGGACTTTTTCCAGTCCATAGTCCCCAAAAATATACGAAACACAAATCACAAGTTCTTATCCATATGGTAGTCATATATTTCGAACTGTTTGCAATAATGAATATAGCAAACATCACTTTATAGATAAGACAAGGACTTTGTAAATATAAAGTTATCAGCATTTTACAATTAGCTTTCGAGCACTTTTAATGAGTTTCGCTTGAGTCAATTGTGTATTTGACACGCTAATTTGAGGCATAACTTTATTTGCAAAATGCTTAAATGCTTATCATTTTTACTTGAAGCGCTTTAGTTTCGATATTAACGCAGAGTACTCGACTTGAAGACACGCTATGCCCAATTTGCTTACCATATCTCTTAAATCAATGAGTCAGATCCACAAATACTTGAATGCCACTCTAGCAAAATGCAGTGCCATAAACAACAAACCAACAACAAGTGTTTTGAGGGCGCAGGTAACCAGCATAAAAGAAGAGAAAACAGGTCAAATATCCAGGCAGCTGAAACGCATTAACTGATTAATGTACAACAACAGGCGGAAGCAGCGCTTACGTTTTTCAATTTCCAGTTTTTTCTATCGGAAAATCAACATCAGCTGAAATCCTCACGAAATGCGCAAATAATGCAAACAAATTAAATGCTCCTTTCAACCCAATGGCACTAGAATGCTGTCAAGGCAACCAAATACAAAACGCACCCCCTAAAATAACATGAAGCAAAAAAAAAAAAAACAGTCACAGCTTAAGCTCATGGGGTGCCTGGAATTTATCACTGCCAGCCAAAAAAATGAACATCCCCGAAAAGTGGAAGAGTCAAGCTGGAAAAATGATAAGCTGTCCTCGTTGCTGGCATGTGCTTTATCAAACCACTTTTTCGGCTAAAATACATATGCAAATTGCGTGCTACGGGATGTCAGTATTTGGGTCAGACTCTCTGCTGGTCTTATCAGTATTATGTACAAAAAGAAGACTGGTTTATAAATGCAATTGAAATGGAAGTTTACCCATTTTTTGTACAATTAAGATCAAGAAGAATTAAGTACAATGAGAACTAAACATAAATCCCTTTAACAAGTTTGTTAATTATATTTATATTATATTTCCTGATTGTTTATTTTTCGATAGTATAATTATGACGCCAGGTCAAGTGTTTTTTAATTTTTACACTCATATATATTTCGGATCACGCCGGTATTCCTCCTCAGCGAGAACTTTATCAGGTGCGGAGTTTCAAATATACCGAAATATATCGATAAACTAAAGTCGTAATATTTTGTATATTTATATCATATTTTACCAGTTAAGTTGTAAGGCAGAAATTGATTTAATACTGAGTTGAATATGGAAAATATAATGTTTAAACAAAATTGTTTAAACCTGTATTTATTATGATAAATATACGTAAATTAATAAGGCACCCAGAAAATTTCGATTTTATAATAACAAATTAGTTAAATTAACCTAATACAAAGTGATGCGCATGAAAATTAGTACACTTGATGTTAGAAATATATGAATTATACGTATGTTTATTAACCGGACTCATAAAGACCATATAGCAGGTGGTGATTTACAATTAAATTGAAGTCTCAGAGTTGAAGTTGGAACTACGTTTTTAGCTTAACTTTCTTGCGTTCTTTTAAACAGTACTTTGGCACGCATTCCGTTATATTGTAAGCCATCGACAATGGCTGAAACCAGGTTGGTTTTAACAACAGGACAACAACTGTTACACACACACAGAGAGAGAGACACACGCAATGTGCTTAATTAATGGCCAGGCGGTAATTAAAAAATCTTAATACAACAATGGCAACAACAATGAACGACTGGGTGTAACCAGAAGAAAGCAGAGCCCAGTAAATTTACGTGCTGAGCTCCTGTTTCCCTACCAGGAGCATATATAAATAAAAATCTTCTCTCTCTCTCACTCTCTCTCTCTCTCTCTGTCTTGCTCGTTTCACATTTTACTTTTAATGGCCATAATTCTTTGTTTAGTGCCTGGCCGGCCTGGTGGCCCCTGTGTGAACTGTGACAATTGTTTTGCGTTGCCAGCTGGTAGCTGTGTGGCTTAGCTTTAGCTGCTAAGCGTATCCCGTGCGAATCCTGGCAGCTAGCAGCTACTATCCACACCAGCAGACATAGCAGACTCAGACCACCAGCATATTTGGCCGCATTACGTGTTATATGATATGAGTGACATGTTATTCTAATTTCACACCCCCTTTTTTTCTGGTTGTTGTGCTCGAAGGGTGCGCTGCTGCTGTCATACATCCAAAGCATTTCCATATGGTCCGCTTCGGGCGCTATGTGTCGCAATGTGTACACAATGTACATAAATTTGTATGGTGTATGTATGGGGAGAATTGTTGGGAAGCGAGCCCAGAATGAGGTCATTTCTTTTCCTTTTTACTGTCTTGACTGAATGTTGCCGGGCCCGGCTGTCAACTAATTACATTGCCATTGCAAAAGTATTTTCTTGTCTTACTCAAACGCCGGAAATTTGACAGAGTTGCCGCTGTTGTTGCGGTTGTTGTTGTCGTTCCTGGTTGCAGGAGCTGCAAGGATCTCGCAAGTGTCGCTGCATTCTTTCAACGCTCTGTCAATTTTCAATCAGGGCAAACATAATAACATAGCTAAGGAGTGCCTGAGTGCCACCCTGTGCATGTGTTCCCTAAAGGTATGGAAAAAAGAAACCAATATCTTTGTCGTTAACGTTGCCGTTGTTGCAACGGATGTCAGTTATGTATGTGAATGTATATGTAAATATATATGTGTTTGTGTGTGTGTTTGTTTAGCGTGGCACTGGCATTGACATTGTTCAAGGTTGCACTTACGGTACAGCTTATTGCAAAATATATTCATAACAAATATTTACATATAGGTTAAATAAAGGATTGGCTAACGCTATTCTCAAATGTTTTTCGATAAATGAATGTTTGTACTTCTTCGTATTCTGAGTACAAATATTTGTTGAATAACTCCTTGCTTTCCTGCAAACATTCATATAAATAGTTCATATATCTATTTGACTTAGCGTATTCTATTATAAGCAGCAGCTGTTGTAGATATTAAGCTTCGATTTTTAACGCAATTTCTATAAACGGATCAGCAACTGAGAGAATTAATAACTTGTTTATAATAATTTTAATGGGAAAGTAAATAAAATAATCACCATTAAACAGCGATTATTAGATCTTCACTCATAGTATAAATAGTTATAATTGTTTTTTTTTTGTTTAATTGGCATACCGATTGATTTGTTTCAGTTAACGAGTCTATTCTTGTTACTCTATTAACGCTTTTCGTTTTTTGCCACCACAGCTGCACAATTAAATTAACAAATTTAAAGGCGCAAATTAATTTTAATATGCATATCGCACACATTTTTCGGCAGAAAAACTATGTATGCATTTTGAACATGTCATGTTTCGTTTTGTTGCATATATTCAAGGCATTTTTATGGTCTGACCACAAAAACAACATGCTTGTTGCCTGCATCATCCAACTTTATTTTTTTTCTCAAAAAATGAGCAAAAACAACAAACTCCCAAATGTGTGTGTCTCCCTCTATCTTGCGTTGTTCAATCTGCTGACTCCCTCGCCTGGCAGCAAATGCAATTTGGGCCGAGTTCTTCATCCTTTTAACCAATTCGAAAAAAGACAACATGAATAATTCACAAAAGAAAAACAACATCAGCAGCAGGAGAAATCCCAAAACACATTTCCAAATTGTGGCTGTGGCTTTGGCTGCTGCTGCTGCTGTTCTTGTTGTTGTTCTTGAGGCTGCTGTTGCAGTTCAACGCACCCGAATTCCCCGCAACACAGCAACAACAACAACAACAACAAAAACAAAGCTAACTTTATATCAGAGCTGGTCCGAGTTGTTCTCTGGTCGTTTGGTGTGATCTGAAGGCAGAGAGACCTGAAAGCATATACAGCCAAGCAAAATGAATGGCAACAGGAAATGGCATAAAATTCACTTTATTTTCATTTGCAATTACTTGTGGCATTGGCAATGCACTCCAAAATAAAACTGGGCGCTTTTGTAAGGGTGTGGGCGTGGTCGTGCAGCCAATTTGCATAACGTGCTACGAGAATGTGAGTGGGAGGCGCAGCCAATCAGCACCAAGAGCAGAACTGTTGCTAAATCTAGACTTGGAAATGGAGCTGGATGGCCAGCTCTACTGGCTATTAAAAGCCTTGTAAATAGCACAGACAACAATGCAAATTTATTTTTTTTAGAGAGTGTGAGTTGTTGTTCGACTATAAAGTGTTAACTTGTTGCAACTATAATAATAACAACAACGAAAGCAGTCAAGCGAGACGAGGTATAAGCTAGTAAGAAGTGCATCTGAAGACAGCGAAGTAGAAATGCAGATCAAAGTGGAAAAGATCTGAGATCAAACTAAAACAAATACACTTGGGAGCGGTTTCAAATTTATTACTTTGTCAAAACTGAATCGATTTTAAAAAGCAGCACTTTTTTAGTCAGGATTTTTAATGCATTGAAATTGGAAA